ACTAAAACCAGCTTTAACAAAAAAATAATATACAGTTAATCACAAACGCACTTCATAATGCAAAAAGTGTTTTTAAGAAAAAAATAAATAATACTGGAAAAGAAATAGATAAAAAGAATAGTGCAATAAATCCTGTTATTGCTAAGAATCCAAGGAATAAGCCAAGGTCTGTGGGGTCTTATAAAGTAATTATGTGAATTATTTTAAGACTGGAATTAATCAAATGTAATAAAAGCATGGCTTGAAAAAACAAAATGTTTAAAATGATTGCAATAAAAAACTGCTAGAAATATTCTGAAAAATATTTTAAGATAATTTAAGGGGCGTGGTCACAAAATTTTCTGCTCGCTCCACTCGCAGGTACGCTTCTTCTTCCAGATTATTTTAAGGCCTCCGACAACCTGGGATTTCTTGCATTGTATGGCCAAAAAGACCCGATTCCACTACCACCATCAAATGGCGGCCTGTTTCTCTTCTTTTGTATGAAATACAATACGCCACAATAATTGGAGTGGAGTGAATACCATATCTATCTTTGTTTTACATTTGGATAAGAATTTTTTTGGCTTGGGTATCCATAAAGCTAGCCAGGTATAGTTTTGAAAGATTAGTAGCAGTTACAGATTTGTATTATATAAACAAACTTCATATTACATAAAAAGTATGTAATATACAGTAAGGCTCTGTTTTGGACAGTTCTTAGAACATTGAAATATGTAACATGATTAGAGATCAAGTCTCTAAAAACAGCATTTTATGAAAAGAAATAGCTAGAAACAGTTGATTTGCCTTTAAGGATCAATCAATAACTTACAAACACAGTAATTACATTCCACTCCATTTCCCCCATTCACAAAGAAATACTTTATTGACTCCATAGGGTGGAAATGTAGAAAAAATTCCCTGTTATCTGGTTTGCTACTCTGTTTTCTTTTGACCAGGTTTGATATGTTCTGGTGAGATTTATACATAATCAGTGGCAGCTGTAGTTAGGCCAAATTACACTGAAAATGTCCCTGAAAACAATGTAAAACATTGTTGGTAGGTCCCCAAAAATCTGCGTTTTACGCTGTTTTGTGCAGTGATGAAAATTCCTTAAATTAATGCCTGGATTCCACTGATAGTTTTGATTTGATTTTGACTTTATATAATTCAAATTCTACGACATTTCTAAAAAAGCTAATTAGTTACATAAATCAACTAAAGAACGCAACAACGTTCAGCATTTTTGTTATAAGAATCAAATAATTTTTCAAAGGCTCGTTAATCTTAGTTTTTTGGATATTTTGAGGCTTGGGTGCTCTTAGTTGCTCATATTTTAACATTGATTTTTCTGCATTTACTAACAATTAATTGTTTCCAGGACCACAAAATAACAGTTCTGCCTTAAATTTTTGATAGCACAATTGATAGTTCAGTGTAAATTTTTGATAGTTTTCTTAAAATGAAAAAGAATGTTCAAAAAGCACGTTTTTTCTCCTCGTTTTGCATCCAAGGCTGGACATCTATGCCAGTATCAAAACAAAGTCTTTCAATAGAAATTGATTGACTTTGAAAGACTTTGATCAGAATTTTCTAAATTGTTCATCTCCGTCCTCACTGGCTCTATTGGACTTTTAATGATAAATTTGATACGGCGCCTTTCAATTTGTTGCTCGAAATGGGGAATTCTTTTGGCACATGTTAATTTATTCAGAATTCATGTACCAGTTCTTTTGGCAATTTTTGGCATATTACATCTGATTTTTTGATACCGTAAATCTCGAGCTACATTATGTAACAAAAATGTTGTCTTACCGAAATCTTCAAACGCTAGAAAAATCTCGTTTGACATCGATGGACATTCAAAATAGATTTTCCATGATATTGTCTAAGAATTATTCAACATCAAATACAGATCTATATTCAGTTTCTGGTTCTCCTTCGTAATCAACAAATAAGCTACCCAGCTCATCTTCACTTTCTTCTCTTCCGCCCTATATATCCAAGAACTTGAGTTCTCTATGGGCTGAACTGATGCTTCTACAGGCTTGATATTGTTTCTCATTTATATCGATGACCTTTCATTGTACCTTAAGAAAGGCGAAGTGGCGATGTTCGCAAAAGATAAAATATTTTCCTACACTTATTCGAACTCAAGCTTTGGCTGTATTTTGAAAATTACTGATGAAACTTTTGATCATCCACACCACAGTTCTTTTTTGGCAGCTCTCAAGCTGAAAATGTGGACTAGACAAGGTATCTGGTCGTTATCAATAGGGGCTTAAATAAAGGAAGGACAAATTAACAATCATCCTACCAAGACTTCTCGTGTTTTTGGGTTTTTGAAATATTCCAGGAAATGCTTACCTCATGGGCTCAGTTGCAGGCTGGAAAGTGGGGGGGGGGGGTCAAGAGAAAATTTAACAATCATAACAGGATATTTTTGAAAGCTCTATTGCTTTGCACCCTACCCCCTTCGTCTGAAGCTCTGTACCTCAAATCACAGTAAAATGTATCAGGGTGAGTAAAATTCACCCCATTTAATAGGCCCCCAATACCGATACAAGGCGCGATGATTTGCCTCAATTCTATGTCTCTAAATGGAAACGAGTTTATTTTGTCTTCATGTTCTAAAATGGCGCTCAACTAGCTGTATGACCGTGTCTTTGCAATATTCCTCCGTAATTGCTTAGAAATTTACGTTTGCTGTTTAGAAAGGTATGAAAACAACATATTCTTGCAACTGAAATTTCGTTCGGAAATTTTAACATCATGTATCACTTGATTTACGTCAATTTATAATGTTTGACATTTGTTGTGGTTTCATTTCATATTCATTTTAAGTTAATAAAAATAACTATTTACCGGTCTGTCATAATGTGCTCGATGCCGATGAGGCAAGGCTGTACACGCATTTAGGATATAGAACAGGACGTTGCGGTTCTAAGTTGCTTTGCTTTTTCGATCACTAAGGAATAGTTAAAACTAGGGCAATTATGATTTTATCTAGTTGTTATATACTCCTAGAGGCAGGGGCGGCGCGAGGCGTCGGAAATTAGGTAATCTGAAATGAAAGGGAAGGAGCACGCCCTTTCAAAACCCTAAGAAAGGTGAAAAATTGTATGTTTGATAGTTCAACTATTTTAGCAATTTCGCAAACAATAAAATTCCAAATTATTATTCATTATTTGTCATCACGTCATGAACTTTTCTTTTTATGTAACAAAAATGCTTAGCACTTCGCTACAAATCTATCTGCTGACGAGTTGAGAAAAACAAACCAGGCTGCTGTGAGAACTTAAAATTTCTTCAGTGATCATATCAGTGATGAGATCTTCTGTGGGCTGTGTGACAAATATGTTACATGCTATTTGTGCAAAAACGACCTTAAATCATAGCTCCACAGAATAACTTATTCTTGTTATGTCCTATTGCTTGTCCTTTTGCAGATAGATATACAACAATATCAATGTGATTTTGAACCATTTATGCGTATCTTGATGCATTTTTGCTGTGTCTAACAATCTCTCTTTGCCTTGCCTCCTTTAATGCCCAAGCAACATTGATATAACCTAACTGTGAGGTTGGGTGGTACTTGGTTTTGGGATGCTTTATGACTGCCAGCAGGGCTTGTGCCCTGTCTGTATAAACCATGTCTTTGTAAGAAAGGCACTTTGATTTAAAATGTAGATAAAGAATCATCATTAAAATACTAGGCTTACCTTGAAAGGAATGATCAGGAATCACTACGCAAGGATTCTGTACAGACTTATTTTCCAGGATAAACGTTTCTGCGCATTTTCTGGACAACAATTTTCCAAGAAAACACTTATAAATAGTTTTTGAAAAGTTCCTTAAATTTACTACTTGTAAGTCTTTTAAAATCATTGAATCTTGGTGTTACACAGTAATTAGAAACAGTTACACAGCTCAGCCTGTTAAAAGGGGTTTTATGGCTTTTTGTTATAGGGTGTTATTGGGTTGTTCTGGTGTTCTTGGAGTGTTCAGCCAGGGTAGATCCCATGTTAGGCTAACACCCCAAAAAACAGTTGGAGTACAATAGGAAATTGTCAGTGCATTCCTAATATCTCTGGTGTACGCTAAACAAATTCCACACTGGGTGTTCAGTCTTTAGAAATAATAAGGGGTCTAACACTCCAAAGCAGCCTGGAATGGGAATAATGTACAATTTTGCCAATATATCTATGTGCAAGGTACATGTTTTCACAGGGCAATTTAGGCATAGTTGGCTTTTACTATTATTAGTAACAATACTATTGCTTTTGTTTCTGATATATCTCTCTCTATTGCCCTAGATAAGAACACACTAGATAAGAATTTTTCAATGTTTTAACAAAAGACACTCTAAAATTTGTGAACAATTTTTTTGCGGTACAGAATTTGAAAATGGCTTTGAAAAAAGCAAACATTTTACGACATACTAAAGCTTTTTTGTCTGACACTCCTCATTGATTGTGCAAAACTCTATAATGACGACATGTTTCAGATAATTGGCAGAGCCCGGTCGTCCTTCCATCTAGCAGTTTTGGAGTCAATCTACATAAAAACGAAAAAGCAGCCATTGTGTAGACAAAAGGAGTTCGTTTTCTCTCTTGGACTCCATTGGTAATTTTTCTTTAGGCTCGCGGCACTGATTGGTCAACTATACCGGTCTTGTGCTTGCGTTTTTCTGATTGGCCTATTTCGATCCACAACTGGGTATATATTTTCCCTCGTGTTCTTTCAGAACCTTATTCTGACGTTTTTGCTCTGAGGAGTGTCAGACGAAAAAGCTTTTAGTATGTCGTAAAATGTTTGCTTTTTTCAAAGCCATTCTAAAATTTGTTTTTGTTCATTATAGAATCTACATTCTCACTCTTGCTATAAAATATATCAAGCTGAAAAAATACCAACGAATACCACAAGAAAAATTGTGCTATGAGAAATAAAATATTATAAATTAGAATATAAAATAGAAGAAATATTCACTTTTATTCAACTTTCAAATCAATTTCCAGGAAAAATGAATTTGGATGATTGGTCTGTCAGGGAAAAGTTAGTTTTGGCTTGCTGTGTTGTACGAAGTGGGGATCAAAATTGGTAAGCCTATTGGTTTTACTTATAATTCTTTGTTAACAAATTTTATTTGTTGTTGTCATGTAGAAATGTATTTGATATGTAAACATTTTATTCAATTATACACAGATACGTATGTCACATATGTAAAGTTAGAACTTCTAAAATTTCTTATAAGATTGCAGTCAAATTATACCACTTACTGCCACTCAAAGACTTTTCTTTAAATGGATATTCTTTTGTTTCTTGTATTTATTGACTTGTTTCTAATTGTCTGCCAAATGTTTTCTTGTCCCACTCCAGTTGTATAATTTGTCAAAAATATTGCTTTCAAGTATGTATACCACTGTTTGCTATGTTTATATATGCTTCAAACATTGATGCTTGAACACCTAAAAGTTGTCTCTTCTATTGGGATGCTAGAAACTATCGAACAATGATCTTGATATGTCATGTAAACAGCTGAGCTGTTTTTTCAGGGCTTCAGTTAGTAGAACAATCAAACCAATTTGTGAAGCAGTACATTCAAGACCAACAGAATGGTTTTCACAAAAGGTAAATATATTATCAAGGTATTGGTATTATCAAGAAACTTAAATATTTTTTTAAAATTGATCTTGATAATGAGCCTTCTATATTAAGCATTGAACTAGAAAAGCCTGTTTTTATACAGTGAGAGTGTAGGCAGATTAACTACGTGAGGAGTTAGCAGCTCTGGGTTGGTCAAAACAAAGAACCAGTCAAATTGGCCATTCTTTCTATCAAGATACTTTCAATCTGCATCTAGATATAAATTTCTGCTTACCTTACATCATTATCTGACATTTATACTCCAAGGATGAAATGCAGATTTGTAGGCTATTGTGTATGCCTTTCCATGCAAATTAGCAAAAGCTTCTGTTAAAGCATCTGATATAGGATGTATTTATAAGCCAGAATGGTTTCAGGTCAATGTTGCAAAAATTTGGTTTTTACATGCAATAAACACCTTTTAATATTTACTGAAGATAGTGTTAATGCAATTCCAAATGAGAAACTGTAACATGGGAACGTTCTAATTTGTAGCTACTTGTCCTCTTCAAGCTATATTTTAACCAAGTTAATTGATATTCTGAATGTTTGATCTCGCAAGAAATGTGAATGTGTTCAGTGCACTAAATTTGAAAAAGTATCTCCAAAGAATCCACTTTTTTTAAAAAGTTACCATCTGTAAAAAGAAGTTACGGTCAAAAGCACTGGCAAGCCTCTGATTTTCATCAATTAAGGAACAGCCTTTCAAGGTTTTCATGCCCAATATTGCAAGATGTTCATGCCCATTATTTGTAAACTTTTAATGTGCAGGCCAAATACCCCTTTTTCTGTTAATCGTAGTGGTTGGTTTTTAGGTTTTTTTGTCCATCTGTTAATATTTTTTTCCCGCAGAATTGCGCAAATCAATATGGGAGCTTACTGGAAGGTACCTCAACCAAAAAGTAAGTAATCCACAAAGTTTGATTGTCTTTCGTTTTCTGAGTATATCAAGTTTTTTACATGGCAAAACTTGCCAACACGTATGAAACATATGTTGGATGAATAGTGCTGTAGTTGATATTCTATTTAAATGTCTAGCAGGTGATGTCATTCATAAAATTTCATGTTTCATTTGCTTAGATCTTGCGGGGGAAGGTATATGATTTTTCATACTTTTAAACAATCCTTTTGTGGTACAGAAATTGAGAATGAATTTGAAAAATGCAAACATTTTGAAATACACCAAAGCTTCTCGTCTGACAACTCAACTGTATTGTGTTCACGTTTCTGGTTGGCCTATTTCCATCGACAACTAGGGAATATATATTTCCTAGCGTAGAGTTCGATCTATGTTTGACGTTCTATACTCTGTAGAGTAACAGACGAAAAGCTTTAGTTTGTTTCAATTTTCATTCAAAATCATTTTATCATGTCTTGCTTATTTTGTTCTAGGAGAAAACGAACATCAAGTGAAAGTGGGTTAAACGGTATGTTATCCCTCCCAGTCTTAAACTCGGCCCAGTTCTTTGTATTTTTACATTCCTCTTCAAACAAACAAACCAATAACCAAAATAGAAAATCAAAGTCATATTAATCAGAAAAAACGTAAAATATCTTATATCAACAATATGAAGAATAGAATCGAACATAGACGAAAAATGTGTATTTCTTCGAATGATCTGTAAGATTTGCCCTTCTGTCCTCAAATCTCAATATATGATGTAAAGATTGCTTGTTTAGATATTCTTGCCAACCGATCTTCGAGGTATTTTGACTGATGGTAAATCTTTTGACTAAAACGATTAGGTTCAAACGAGATAATGGTTTCCACTGTTTGCTAGTTGGATTGATTTTGGTTGAAAGCTTTGCAATAACTTGTTAATTTCTAATTAGAGGATGACCTTAATTAGCGAACTGCCAAGCATAAAAAGCTTGTTCGTTAAATGCAGTTTTGTCTTAATTAAACTTTTCCCTGATTTTAAAGGCTGTTTGGATTAAAATCCATGTCACCTGTTGCCAAAAGTTATGTAAATAATTCCATTTAGAATTCTTGAGTATTCTGATTGCACTTGAGGCTTTATTTTATTCTGAGTCGATTGGTATATTGTACAAACCAAAATTTTTGATATGGAAGCAGCCATCTAGGCTGTTATTGAAACTTCGTTTACCCAAGAATCAACATGATATACATCATGTAATTTACACTGCCAGAAGAAATTCTTTAAGAATGCAGTATTTCCTTTTTATTATTAATAATCAGTGGCAACCTGAAACTGCCTGTTATTTACGTTTAGCGAAATAAGTTAAACAAACAGCTTCTTTTTAGAATGATTTTACCTAATCCGGGCTTTTGGTTGGTTGCCGAAGGTTTTGGAAGTGATTCAGGCCCTTTGACTCAATGTGCTATTTTGTTTAAGTGTACGTGTATCCTTTACAACTATCTGAAACTTGAATTTGCGAGGTACTATGACGATGCAACAGCTTCCGGAAAAGCAGTAAATCTGGTGTAGGAGCACGACAGAAATTAATCAAAATGCCATGAATGCGCTAAAATCTGTCAGGCAACGCAGATAGCTAAAACGGATTCAGGCAACGATTTTCTAGGCGTTTCGGATTATTTCTAGATAGAAGACAAAAAAACAGAAAAAGCTCATTTTCTTTGTGGGAAAATTAAAATTGTCTAAAATGATAAGCTCTCTCAAACAAGTGCACGTTGCTTTTCCTTATTCGCCCTGGGTTATTCGATTTTTCTGTCCTTCAAGTATTTTGCTTGTGAAAATTATCCTGATGTTTTGTTCTGTTTATATGTGTTAACAGGAGGAAGAAATTTGTTATTACACTGACCATTATTTTTAATGTTTGAAGCGTATGATTAAATTGATTCTAACAGAGTCAAATGCTATTTACGCGTCTATTGTTTTTTATAATATATTTGTCCTTTCCCGACGGTCGAAGCAATTTTCCAATAAACTCTGTGATGTGGCATTAGCTTTGTTTTATTAATCATGTAACCATGAAAATTGTTGCTAAAGATTAAACTAACACAAGCAATGTGCTTATTTTATTGTTTTAGAAACTCCGATGGAACAAATTATCAGAAAACTATCTTTTGAAAGAATTGACGAGTTGAAGAAAACAATACAAACTGATCGGTTGAAATACAAGTAGGCCATTCGTTTTTAACAATATTTTGTTGATTGTTTTTTTCGCATAAGGTACAAGGCATTTTAGCAGTTATGTTAACATTTTGCTGCCATTTTTATAGAAAACTGAAAAGTGATATTGAAAAAATTCGATGTGGAAAAGTTGACGACCAGTTGCAGAAAATTTGGAATGAATTTCACAGGTGATAGTTGTACACTCCTATTAGTAAATAATATCAAGTAAATAGTATTTTATTCAAGCCGTGTAAAATTTTTGAAGGGGTTTATCTTCAAATCTTCCATTATGCGAAAAGTTGAAATTTTCGCAGAAAATTCGCTTATAGTTAAACATTGTATATATTCTATTAATTCGACCGGTTGATGATTTAAATTTTTTTTGGTTAAAAAAATGTTGACCTTCTCAATCATCACATTTTAGGTCAAACTTTGTTTTTTTATCATTCGAACAAGGTTTTGTTTTGTCTTTTCCAGTCTCTAAATAACTTGACCCTGCACTGCATTTTCAAAAATTTGCAGTCACTGGAGACTTTTAGTGCTAAATTATGGCACACTACTTGGGTTCATTATAAGATATGTCAATTGCATTGTGTTTCAAACAATCTTGTCGTTATCAAACCTAAAAGCATACTCTAAAACGTATTTTAATTTTTTGACAGTGGCAAGAACCTACCAATCGAGTCCTTTATTCCTGACGACAATCCAATATTTCACCTGACTATGGAGGGACACTACCCTGATGGGGGAGATGCTACCATGGGCTCAAGCAGCACCTCAGCCCTACATCAACAACAACAATCCAGTGCTTTGTATCAAAGAAGCAAATCTCAGCGACAACCTAAAGCTACGAAAAAGTATGTTCTTTAGGTCATTATACTTTGGCTGTTTTCTGTTTCTATGCGAAGTGTCTGTGGTATTTATATATGAGCTACATAGTATCTTTATGAAAAGTTGCTTGCTGCTATAGAATGGAAAGTTTTTTTCTTTTGCTATAGAGCAGATTTTGAGACTCTGATTTAGGAACTATTTTGTAAAGTTTTGTTTGTTTGTTGCCACAGATCATTTCGAAACAAAACTTAAATGTACTGAGAATATTTGATTTAATTTCCAGTAGGTGAAAATATTGCTGTGTTATTCCTTTATTTGCTGTAAAATGTTCTGGGTTGGATAGAAAAAAATGTTCTTTATGTAAGGCAAGTTTCTGCAGCTATCATTCCACTTGTTCTTGTTCTGTGAATTCTTTGTAGCAATTTTTTATATTGCTGTGCTCTATTGTTGCCTATTGTTTCCTCTGTTTTGTCTATATCAGAGAGTTCAGGCAACGATTGGGCCACTTAAACACCGGGTTACTCTTTTGTTCGCTTACATTGCTGTAATATTTTACCTTTTTCACCATCCCGATCATTACTGTGTTTTGTCAGATTCGAGTCTTGGATGACACAGCTCAAGCAACAGCAGGCCAGACATCAGCAGAGTCATTCAGGATCGCTCCATTCCAGCCCACATGGCCAGGGATCCGCACCTGTATCTCAAGGAGCTAGCGAGCCCTCTTCATCCACAGGTTTTTTAAAAATGTTACTTCTTTGCTGAAATAAAAATACGTCCGTCTAGCACTGATGGCAACACTACCACGTTTCAAAAGCTTATCTTTGGACTCTTGATATCTTTCAATACTGTTCTATTTTGTCGCTAGTCAATTCTGCAATACAAGATTCTCTATGTACGCGTCCTTTGGATAATGTTTGATTCTTATCGACCAACATGTAGACGACATGTAGAATATGTTGTACTTTTATCCTCCGTAAAATTTATAGCATTATAATTTGCACGTTATGCCAAAGTCACGCACTATCAAAAAAGGCCAGTGAATCTTTATCATGGCTTTTAAATGATCAATCACTGGGTTCCATTGGTCCCTGGGGCAAATAGATGTATAGAAAATATTTTTTAGCTGCCAGCGGCTTACTGCCTGCAAAGGAAGCTTACAAATTAGGATATTTAGATTAAATTGGGAAGGGTTTAATTTTCGAGCCTTTCCTTTGTCCAGATGCAAGCCAGTGCCACGGCGTACGACCACAGTCCTTTTTCCCACAACAACAGTTTCCAAATCAGCTGCCATACCAACAACAGCAGCAACAGAATTTTCACCAAGAACAGCAGATACTTCTCCAGCAGCATCAACAGCAACAAATGCAACAGAGTAAGCAATTCTTACAGCAGCAACAACCGCAACATCAGCAGTCACACCAGCGACAGGTAAATACATGGAATCTCTTTGTATAATATGATCATGGATTTCATTTTGCGCCAATTGTTTTTTTGAGAGCAGTGTCCAGTAGGCTTCTTCGTCAGATGCGAATCAACAGCAGATGCCTCAATCCTTTCCCATGCTGACTTTATGTTCGGAACACGTTAAAGACTGTATATTGTATACAGTTATATGCCTTTTATAGAAAATAAATTGACATAGTATTATTGCTAGGTTACCTCAAAATATGTGAAATTATGCAGCCAAGCTGCAATTCAAATAAATGTAATTCTACGTCAAGAATAATGGGCTGAACGATTGTGTTTGGGAATGGCCCCTTTTTGTTGTACAACTTTTGAATGCTTTATTTCTTTAAACAGAAAATCGTTTTTCTCCCATTCTTTTATATATATAAGAGTTTTACGAATGAATTGGAAATTGTTCCAAACTTTTATACTACTATCATTTATTGCTTCATTAATTGGGTTTTGTCACCAAAAAGTTACAGTTTCTCTAAACACCGGAAAGCCTCTTCAGGAAAAATTTGTGGTTCAACTTTGTCCCAATACCTCAGATTTGATCAAGCTATTTGTCTTTACAAACAGGGGTTCCCACAGATATCCCCAATGCTCTCCAGTTCCTCAGATCACCAAACATCCACAACTGTCAATGAACCTGGTTCGACTTTGTCCCAATACCTCAGATTTGATCAAGCTATTTGTCTTTACAAACAGGGGTTTCCACAGATATCCCCAAGGCTCTCCAGTTCCTCAGATCACCAAACATCCACAACTGTCAATGAACCTGGTTCGACTTTGTCCCAATACCTCAGATTTGATCAAGCTATTTGTCTTTACAAACAGGGGTTCCCACAGATAACCCCAAGGCTCTCCAGTTCCTCAGATCACCAAACATCCACAACTGTCAATGAACCTGGTTCGACTTTGTCCCAATACCTCTCAGATCACCAAAACCATCCACAACTGTCATAACCTGGTTCGACTTTGTCCCAATACCTCAGATTTGATCAAGCTATTTGTCTTTACAAACAGGGGTTCCCACAGATATCCCCAAGGCTCTCCAGTTCCTCAGATCACCAAACATCCACAACTGTCAATGAACCTGGTTCGGTTTTGTCCCATTTCTTCAGATTTGATCAAGCTATTTGTCTTTACAAACAGGGGTTCCCACAGATATCCCCAAGGCTCTCCAGTTCCTCAGATCACCAAACATCCACAACTGTCAATGAACCTGGTTCGGTTTTGTCAACATTACTCAGCGTTCCACCGTCTGAAATCAAAGCTGCTGCCGCTATGCAACAGCAAAAGGTATTCCTAAATATTTTTTACTGAATGTATACAACTGGAATCAAGCCCTGGGGCAAGCATGCATGACATTTTTAATGCTGAAACAGAAGGGGGGCAGGTGAATGCCCACCCTTTGGCACCATTTGGCACCATTTGTAATGGTGAAACAGAAAATGTAACTCCTTTGCAACGATCTCATGCAACACGAACCTGCTGTATTTAAGATCTTTCCCATAACCATATCATCTGCAAAAAATTTTTGGAGACAAAATAAAGAAATGTATCTAAAGTACTTATCTTTATGAAAGATTGTATCTGTCATCTTATAGGTTCAGGAGCAAATGGTGACATAACTTTCTATTTCTTGCTTTTTGTTTATAAAAATCAACCAGGTTTTACTTTGTATCGTGATGTGACGTCAATTGATTTACACCCTTTGTTGTTGTAGTAAAAATGATTCTTTGAGGCAAAAAGTTTAATTACTAATTGAACGTAATATTATCTTTTAGATCATTGGGGATCATCTTGTTGTGAAAGGTACACTCTAAAAATTTATCCATGTTATCAGATATATATATATAAATAAATAAAGATTGTGTTCTCTTATCTGAATTAACAGTGCTCGATAAAACAAACAGCCCACTTGTCTTATTTTTTAGCCTAACTTCTACTAAATAGATAAACATTGATGGTTCATATAGTGAAAAGGTAGCTCAAACTACTATTGTACATTTTGATTTAGTTAAAATTTAAACCAATCTAGAAATGTAGATAACAAAGAGTTATCTTTCTCATAAATGATTCTTTGAGCTTCTTGATATAAACTCTAATGATTTTCTGTCGGCGCCGATTAGCGAGATTTCAAAACATGTGTTTTCTTGATCAAATTCTGTTCTCTTTACTCATAACAGAAACGGCCGGGAGCTCGGGTGGACCAAAGGATGGGCATTCATCTGCCTCCCAGCAAACACCAATCGTGACGTCAGCCTCTGTTACAGCACCAACGTTGTCAAAACTTCTTGAAACATCATTTGAACAGTCGGCCATTCCAAAAAGCCAATCCCACAGACGGGTTTGTTTATATGCTTTTCTTTTTGTAAAATGTTATTGCTTAAGCGTATCACTGTTATTTCAGTTATGAGAGGATAATTCTCCTTTGATTCTTTAATCTTTTATTTGATAACAACTAGTTATTGAACTGGTTATAAGCTTTATGTTTATCTGGCGATCTGCTTAATGAATTAGAACATTTTGCATTTTGCTGAGGTGTATCAATCGACTCTCGACTTAAAACGAATTAATGTGTTATTTTAGATGTCAGCCTCTTTAATGGACGATAGACAAGATTCCGACAACAGAGTAATTAAACAAGAGACAAAAGAAGGTGAGAGGGATATATATGTTTTTAAAAAAGAAAGTGTGTTTGTGTTTGTGTTCGTGTTTATGTTCGTGTTTGTGTTTGTGCTCGTGTTTGTGTTCGTGTTTGTGTTTGTGCTCGTGTTTTTGTTGGTGCCTGTTCTTGTTTGTTTGTTGCTAATTGCTTTGTATTCAAATTATTTGCTCCCATATGACCACATCATCATAAAGACATCATCATCATAAAAACAGTTAACAATATGTTTTATGGTATATTGGCGTTGACTCACCCTTAAACGAAATTCAGAATTATTTTTCTTTTATTTAGAATTATTATTATTTTTTCAGAATCATTTCTTTAATTTTGCCAAAACACTAATCCTATTCAACTTTTATGGAAGATTTATTGAACCTTAAAAGCTTACTTGAAGTCAATTTTAGAAAAAAAGCTACAAATCTAAGTTTGAAGCAATAATATCTAAGGATAAATAGGATAACAATTTGATGCGATTTTACAAAGTATCCATCGTTAATTTCTGGGTTTTTCTTCATTCAAAGGATGATGTTTGTTGTGTACCTTTTTAATGTTTTTTTTAAGTGATCTGTTTAAAGTTTAACTGCTTAAATAAAACAGTGGCAATTTCGATGCTGCAAGTTGACGTTTTTATATTTGAACTAGGAAATCAATCATCGCAGCTTTATACTGGTACATTCCAATCACAGAAAGTGTCACCGTCATCTCAAACAAAGGTATGTCTGATTAGCAATCAGATTGACAATCAGATCAGATCCTTTGCATATCTTTACCCTTTAAGACAATTTCACTACCGGGCAAGGGCAGTCGTTTTGCTTTTGAAACACAGATGACTTTACAAGGATTGTAAAAAGTTGAAAACATTGCAAATTAACCTCTTAAGCACTATCATCAAATAAGAAAAGACTCGAAAGTGAGATATTACTTGTGGCCAGGCAGCTTGTGGGATATCATTTAGTAGAACAGGATAACACGTTCTCGGTTTATTCTTGATCTGCTATTTTTAGAGAAATTTGACAAATTAGAAGTTAGCCTTTGTTTACTGCCGTCTTTCAAGTTAACGATACATCCACCTTACATAACTGGTGCGGCAGATGTCCATTTTTCGTAGCGAGTATCTGCCCTACTTGAGAATGTTGTAGTCGTTAATCAATGCACATGTGCCGGCATGTGCTTGCTTTTTGCGCAATTATTTTTCCTCTGCAGGTTGCTTCATTGTGTTACCAAGCACCTTTGGTAGTAATTCATGTTGGCATGTTTTATAAAGGGTTCATCGCCAAAGCGCCACTTCGTTTAGGTTTTGACACGAGGAGGTTCCTTAAGTATTCAGGATTGTATCGAAAGATATACAGAATACTGGCTGTTAAAGTTGTGGGTTAAAACTTTAAAGATACGTTGTAGTTGCTGCATTGTGCTTTTTTGATATTGTATCTACCATACAATATTGTAACTTTGTAGCTAAAATCAATTTTGTAACTAAAAACTGGACAACTGGAAGAGAGCGTAAGCACAGAGGCTGTCAAAGAGATACAGTCGAAACAGGGGCTGCGAAGAAAAACACGAAGAACTTTTAAACAAGCAAAGTCAGAGACTAATAAATAAAATCATCACAGAATCTTAATACGCTGATACGAAAATATACTGATGAAATGGGGTGTGATTCCAAAAGTGATTCTGCGAATTCAATCGATCGAGGGATTTTGATAGTATACTTTGTTATCTTAATTGTGTGCGGGAGTTATGGAAACCTCTGTGTTATTTATGGCATCGTTTTCTCGAAAGCAAATCGCACGCGACCTTCCAATGTGTTCAATCTGGGCTTAGCGTTTTGTGACCTTCTCACTTGCTTGTTTGTGGGAAGCTTTGAGCTCTCCAGTTTGTTAAAAGATGGGCACTTAGATGGTGATGCTGTATCTACTTGCAAAGGAGCCCTTTTCATAACATACTATTTGCAGGGTGTCTCCATTCTGTCTCTTGCCAGCATCTGCGTTGACAGATATATAGCTTTGCGATTTCCTTACAAGTACAGTGCCTCCGTGACAACAATTGTTGCCTCCAGTGCCGTAGCTATTCTTTGGGCTGAAAGTTTTGTTGCCTTTCTACCTATAGCATTAATTAATGGCTGGGCCTCTTACGAAAACATGACGGGCATTGCTTGCGGTGTCGTTTGGAAAAACCTTCATAGCGGATACGTTTTCTTCATTGGTTTTTTCAACATGTTCCTTCCAGCAATAGCCGTCATTGTCAGCAACTGCATAGTATTTTCTATTGCCCGAAAACATAATAGAAAGCTGTTTAGATTAAAGTTACAGTTTTACTCAAACCCCTCTAATCTAACTGAGATCGACGAAAAAAAGGGAGATATAAATGGTACCAGAATAACTACAGGAGATCGCAAGATGTTAGTAGAAACGTTCGTGTCAGAAAAATCAAACGTTCTTGAAAATGAGAGGATATGCCTTGAGGTTGAAGGTCAGGAAGCAGATGTTTCATGTGTTTTGGATGACAAGTCAGTGTCACTGGAAAAGTCACTCCAAGCAGACACCAGCGATCGTGTTCCAGTCAATGATAATTATCACCTAAAAAAGCGCAGCAATCAAGTGCTCCCCTATCACCTAGTACCAAAACCTAACACGTTTAGCCGGTCTTTGTCTCCATTAAAGGTCAACTTTACACATTCTTTGGAAAGTATAGGAGAGGAGGAAGAGGGTGCCTGTCAAGAGCATTTCGCAGAAATTCGTGAAAAAGGTTCTATTGAAGTACAATGTTGCACACAAAATACATCAGAAGGATGTGCTGGAAATAGACATGAACACAATCCTTGCTTTAGGAACAAAATTTTTTCAATCCAGCCTGCTGCTAATTGGATAAATTCCAAACTAAAGGTACGACCAAGTGTATCAAAAAAGCAAATGGATTCAAGTTTCAACAATGTGGGCAGCGATGTCTTCACTACACCCAAAAGACCTAAGATGGCCAAACGTCAATCGCCACGTGGACCTAGTGAATGGAAGATTGCCTCATCCACTCTGCTTATTGCTTTTTGTTTTTTGATTGCCTACTTTCCTTGGGTCGTTGCCCGCCTCGTTTTGTTGTTCACGAAGCCCTGTTACAAAGCTATTGTGTATACGACCTCTTTTGCGCTATCGAGTGGTCTTTGGAATCCTTTTATTATTCTCTTCACGAGATTTGAAATTCGAAACGTGGCGAAAAAGCGAAGGATATTTTTCTGATTCTTGGTTGATAAAGACAAGATTGACTTTCAATTCTGAAAGACGGTGCTGAATAATTGCAAATTTACCTACAAATGCGTCTGGTGATATAAGATTGAATCCATTGCATCAAGAGGAAGGAAGCTTCCACCAATAAACTAATTGTTTTTGGCTTCGTAATGAACTGCAATTATAGATATTTAATTGGAATCAATTTTCTGTTGGTTGTTTCAATGTTTTTTATCTTGTTTTTATTTCTATACCTTATCTAGGGTATCAATGTTTTTCCGTATATCGATGACGTGAACCCGTTAGTAAACAGGTTTGAAGTATCCAGATAGTGATTTTGCGACTTTATACGCTGAAGCTGTTAGAAAATGGTGTAGTGAATTGCTTTACTGAAATTGCTTTACTGAACAAAAGTAGAAAATAGGCACGTTCATTTGTGTATATTTGCTTCGAATGTTTTTGCCACAAAAAATTTCTTTGTATATACATTCTTTGCATTCACTCTTTGAATTAGATCCCTGACTCATCTCCAACTGGAAAAATATCAAAAAAGAGCACCCCAGACTCGTCACGCACTACACCAATCGAACCACTAAGAATCAAAGTGGAGGATGAGGACTATTTCCCAGATAATGAAGGGATGGCTACCCCAGATTCATCTCAACCTTCGCCACGAGCAAGAATAAAGAAAACCAAAGGTGTGTTGTGTCGAATACAATTGCAGTGAAACCCCCATCAGTGAACACCTCCTTATATCCCAATCAGTGAACACCTTCAAATAGCGGGCAAATAACTTTGTTTCACACGTGTCCGCTTTAAGGAGGTTACCCATACCAAATGTCTTTGGAACGCTCCTTTGTTTAAGTACCGTTTTGAAGAAAGTAACTGTTTCCGGGAGTAAAGGCCCTCACCCCATCCCCTTCTCCCAAAAATACGTCCCCTCCTCACAATAATACGTCCCCTCCTCATAAAAATACGTCTCTTCCACCCACAATTAAGTCCTCTCCCAAAAGTTATATTTGCTGTTATGTCGAGTATCATAGCTATCCTAAAGGAATCCTTTGGACCACATCGAGCCTCTAGGCATTGTGTCAAGCAGCATTGTCGGAAGGGAAGAGGGGGAGAGGGGGTGCAGTATGAAGTGTTCAGCAATTTAGTGACGTCTTACAAGGAAGCAGACAATATCTCCTTCGCAGTTAAAGATATATCCTCGCAGTGGTCGAAATGCTTTACGGATTTAACAAAAATACCCATTGGGAAAGTCTACTATGTATTTGGCTTTTGCGAAAAACTTCTCAAGAGTATTTTGTATTTTGCTGTAGCCAAAAAGAGGAACAGATGATCCTGTCTTTTATATGATTTACTTTAAAATATACAGTCTTGACTTCATGCGTATAGCTAACATTTTACTCTCTCAACTTGCGCAGTCTTATCCCTGTTTTATCTCCCTAAGCTAGGTTAGTGAAGTATTAAATCTCTGCAATGCTCTTATTATCCAATATTATCCATGTGTAACGATATTTTTTTAAAAACAAAATTGAAAATTCTTCCTAGTTTTTGTTTTCACATGGATTGATTAACCTTTTAAGATATGAGGCCACTAAAAACATAATCTTTTATTATTGTAGATTGGTTTCTGAAACTATCGTAAATGAACAGATTTCTATGAAATGATTCCTAAACGCACCCACCTCTTCTATCTGATGACAACATCCATTATGATTAGTAGTCGAATTCTTATTAAGGATTATTCGGTAGTGCAAATTCTCCTTCGATATTGCTGCTGCCATTTCATTTATCAAATTGGATAAAGTATCTACCGATATGATTTGTTGTACTTGCATGCTTTTGTTTTTTTGACAATAAGCTGTTTACACTGTCAAATGTGAACTGCAATGCAGTTTTTCTGGCCAACAATCGAAACAACTTTTTATTGATGTTGATATGACTTGCCATTCAAAAATATTCTGAGCTTTTACATTAGTGAATTCATCAGTTGAAATTATGATCTCCAGAAAATATGAAAAATATGATAAAAATGTTAATATTCGTCTTTTTTCTATTAATTTTGTCTTCTTTCACTTTTTACTCTATTTTGCATGCTTTGCCTACAAGAACTCCCTTTGCTTATCATTCATCGTTATTATTGATAGGAAAGAGAGGTGCAAGAAGGAAACATCCTCAGCAAATTTTGTTGAAAAATTTGGAATCCTTGGTAAGCTATGTTTGATGAAGCAGTATTTTGTTAATGAAAAATATGACGATGATATACATTTTGTTAACGATGGGGTTTTTCAAGAAAACTATGGAAATTCAAGTGGTATCTCACCAATCTTTAGTAATTCGTTTTGGGCAGCAGATCATGTTAATTTATGCGTCATTAATATGAAGCTATTTTTTATCACTCATCGAAACGAGAGAGACCTGTGTAGACAATACCTGGTGAATTTTCTAGCTTTATTAAGGACCGTGTACCCATAAAGTTTGCAGTTGCATACAGGATCGTGAAAAATGCTGATACAATGTTGACATAAATTAAGCTGCTGTATGATCCGCTTGGTTATGACCGACGTAATAGCAGACTGATTGGTTTAGCCCAAGCCACATCCATTCAAGGCTCTCATTTTTACGAAACATTCCTTAAACCGAGGAATTTTGATTGGGAATTGAGAAAAGATTCTTTAGGAGTGTTTTTAATAATTTGCCTTTGCAGGCTGCCCAATCATAGATGCTTTTTATTTGCGTCTAGTTCAAATATATTTGAATGAAGAAGCTTCAGTAAATTGTGTGAGATCAGTGTGCGAAAATCCGACAATAGAAACATCTCCTCTGTTTTCTTGTCCATACCTTACGTCAAATCCAGCAATAATACGTTCGAAGACGTTATTCTATAATCCAAGATTATAAAGATCATAGAGATCAATTTTATCATTACAGCAAGATTCAGAAGACACAGGCTCCGTTGATGAATTAGCTAGTGAACGTGATGAGACTGAAAGCGAGGTTGCTAGTGTCTCTGACGTAAAAGACATGTCTGACACGGAGCAGGAGGATGGTGACGAGGGAGGATATGCAAAAATGAGCGATGAGGCCCGAGAGCAAAGCATGCTTAGAAGATCAAGAGGAAGAAATTCATCTTCTAATTTGTCGGGTGGCATGGTTTTATCACCGAACAGCCCCACTTTGAGTGTTGGAAGGTACGGGTCTTTTCTTGCTCTGGCTCGTTTGCATCGGTCTTGAAAGGAAAGAATTAGGCCAATTTCACGTTCCCCCAAAATGATGCCTGTTTGACAACGAAAGTCTCTTTTACTTCAGTATTGTTTGCAAATGTTATCTCAGTGTCATTGTACGGTATACAACCAAAGCCGTAACGATGAAGCTTAAAAATGCCGTTACTTCAATAAGACTGGCCTTGATACAAACAGTCACCAGTTTCGTAATAAGCCTCATTCGCTTGGTTACGTTGCAAACTGAAGAATTTAATTTCGGTTGTTAATAATATGTAGAGTTTTGACAAAGATTTAGAACATCTAGACGCAATTGTTTGATAAGAAAACATTAAAGGGCTTGGAAAGGAGCCTTGCGTATAATAAATAACATTTTAACGTCACCAAACATTTGAAAGTCAAAGTGTAACCGAGCTTTCATTTTTGTTAGACTGTCGTTAAACCGAGGTATTCTCAAAAACTGACATTAACTTCGGATAACAGTATCATAGCCTATAGAGTTAAATTCAGGATGGAAACGAAATGACTTGAAGACCTGTATTGGGTCTCTAGGTTATGATATGGCTTTTTAAGCTATGTTTTCTGCCTTGACACTACTCTGTTTTGTAGGAATATTTTCAAAGTTTGCAACCTGATGACTGAATAAATAAGTTATGATTTGAAACTCAAAATTATTTGTATCTATTATATTATGAAAATATTTGTTTCGAACAGAATCCCGGTAAAGAACTCTACATAAGTTTAACGTAGAAAGCACATTTTCTTATTCCAAACATTCTTGTTTTATTTAGCAACGACGAGAATTTTCAAGCACAAAAAAACTGGAGAAAGAGTGTCATGCTTGTTTGGAAGTCTTTTGCTAGTCACAAGTAAGAATTCATTTTCAGACATTATTTCCAACATTCAAAGCTGTGGTGTTACCTCTCTGCACCGGTTTTGAAACGTGGAACAGTTATTAGGCCTTGGAACGAATTTTCCCACTAATAGCAGGGCGGACACTTGGTCAAATATTGGGGGGCAGGCTTATTGTTTTGATAAGATGACGACACATCTTCCTATTTTTTTAATAAAAGACCATTGTTCTCCAAAATATTGGGGGGGGGGAGTGTGATTGCCCTACCCCCTCCACACCAAAGATGTCCGCTACTTACTAATAGATGTCCGCCACTTACTTACTGTTGTTGAAAGAGAAAACATTGATAAAAGGCCTTTGTAAAAGTGATACATGATATTCTTTGAATGATATTTTACATCCACGTTGTTTTGTAACGTATTTGCTTATTGGCCATTAGTTTACACATACATATATTCAGCTTCTAGAATTTGGTTGAAGCAATCTCTTGAGTGTGAAAAGCGGGCTGTTAATTGCCAGGTTTAAGCATCTATGTGGTAATTAATTTCTCACTTCATTGCAGATATGCCAATGTTTTCATGCACCCTGTAACTAACGACGAAGCTCCTGGCTATCACAGTATCATTAAGAGGTATTTCTCCACACTTTCCTTGCACAGATATTCTTTTCATTCAAGGGGATGCAACATAATCCAGGGCGTCGACACAAACAGACAGATACCAGCTATGTGTTACTCAAAAACTGAATTGGAAAATTTCTATCTTGTGCTTTTACACGTATCTACGCATTTTGGTCAATTTTATATGTCTACCCTGGCGATGCTAATGTGTTCCCTGCCTGACCGTTATACCCTTATAGGAGATAATGAATTTTGTGTTGTGCAGCTGCATTTGATATTGTACCTATGGATATCGAGACTTTTTCTCGCGTGCTTGGAAGTTTTTCCCTCTTTTTGATCAACATTGAATATCTTGAGAACCTCTTTTGGTCAACAATATAGTAGTACGGTTTGACTGTGGCTCTTTAACTCTTTGCCCCGTCCTCTTAAAGATCACTGTTTATTTAGACAACTGGATCGTTAATTTCTGTGATTTGGTAGCATTTATAACCATATGAGCTTTCTTAGGCCAGTCATTACTTGTCAAAGGCACATTTAAAGTATGATAACCGATATATGGAAGGCCAGTTAAAATTCTACCCTTGTTGCTGATAAGAGCTGAGATAGAGGGGATCGCTGTTAACGTCCGCAACGCAGAATCAACACTATTCCGAAGACTTTCGGCGATCTGCAGTCCCATCTCACTTGAACTCTTGTTTAGTAATGACCCCCGTCAACCATGTGTCCATCATTTTATGGCAAAGGGCGCTCTGTCTAGCGGTGATTGATAATTTTCTGCCCTGTCACAGTTAATGACAGGTTATCAGCTTTTCCATCATAGTTTAGAATTTGTTTTGTTTAATGATGGTCAAACACAATCTTACATCAACGATCGTATGAATTATCTTTTAGGCCAATGGACCTTTCAACAATAAAAAAGAATATTGAAAATGGGGTGAGAAATGATTAATTCGTGGTTAAGCAAAAGGGCTTTGCATTATTGTTCTTTGTTACAATAATGTACAAGACGATTGCTCGCTATGAAGCGACGTACTCTGGCACCCAAGACCAGGCCTGTAACAGTCTTGGTTTTATTTCAATGGGTTGTATTCTAAAGGTTGAGTTAAACAGAGACATAGGCGACTCCTTGAAAGTTGATCTTTCGAAGTTACCTAAAAAAATCTTGATCAACCATCGTAATTTCTCATAGTCATATTCAAATTCAATCTTTCATAATTCAACAAATTCTTATGTTTTTCCTTGTAGCATAGGATAAAGACATTTAAGGGGGCGTAGCAGACCTAAAATATCTGTTTACCAAGGATACTAATATTAAAATATTTATATATCTAGCGAGTGTAAAGGTTTAAGTTTTTGATATGTCTAGAGATTCTCCCATTTCAGTAGCCAAGGAAGTGCCGCTAAACTAAGTTTTCCTTTTTTTATTAGGTAATTCGATGCACAAGCGATTTCCACCGTGACGTCATGTTGATGTTTCAGAATGCCCTTATGTATAACAGAGAAGACCATGATGTGTAGGTTTTTAATCATAATCAATTTGTTTATTTTGTTATGTCATCCTCTTATATCCACCTCCTGTTAACATTCATGATGCTTTTGTGGCTATTAGCCGATATGGAACAATAATACATAAATAAGACGACTTTCTATTAAGCCTGGAGACGGTACTAGCTATTAACCCTGAAAACATACTAGAGCATCTTTGCCCTCCAGCAGTAAGACACTATTCTCTAATCTGGTTTGGTATGTGTTGATGTTACTATTTGATATGAAATTGACCCACGTTTTACCAATGGATCACTGTTGTTTTGACCTGGTCAATAAGTTTTAAAAGTAATAACCAATTACTGTGGTTAATTGAGAAAGATCCTTCTGCTTGTTTGGCCATATGTCAGTCACTATTTGACGGAACTAGCAAATTTTTCAGCTTTAGAAGTATTTCATGGTTTTCTTCAAGGTCATGTACGTCAAAATTTAAGAATTCTACAATAGGTTTTTATGACATCATTGTTTGCCACTCTATAGGCTTTCACGTATCAATTACATAGCACAATAAGTTTACATCATTCTAATCGGGACAGAACGTCATGACATTCGCGGGAAGGCAAATCACGTCAGAATGCGCGCGCATTAAAAACATTTTGCTCTTTGTTAACTAAGTGCACATTCGCTGAAGTTGTTTCTCGTATAGATTTTCATCGGCCTGTTAGAAAAATCCCTTTCAGGATGATTCTTGTCAAAGAAAATATTCTTTTGAAAGGGGTTGATGTTTTTTAAATGAGAAATACGCTATTTGATGTATAGAACAGGATGGTTGTAATTTGCTTCTGCGAGTTGGTACTCTGCTGATCGCATTAAGCATGAAGCTCAGGGTAGCAATTTAAGACCGTTCAGTTCTAGACATTAAATTGCATGTAAAGCTCTACCTAAACGGACGGCATCAAGCACTTTATAACTTACCGGTAAACAGTAATTTTCATTAACGCGTAATACAATTGATTATTTTCAAAAGATAAAATTAACAAAATACATTTATTTTGACATTTATCAAATGCCTAACTGTTATGATGTATATTTTATGAAAGCATGTAGTTCTACTGAGGCGGGTCTTTTATGGAAGGACATTTTCACATGAGACGAGCAAGTTCTCTCTTGCGCTAAGTATGACCTCGAAATAGCAGCAAAGGGGCTTTTCTATTTCCAGTAATCTGCGTTTAACCTTCCGGTGACCATTCATCGGATGCTAATATACGCAGATCGCTTTACGTTATACACAACAAACAAGTTTGATTAGGCTGTTTTCATTAATCCCTTCTTGTTTGATCACAGTCACCGAATGGCTGAGGAAATGCGCGAGGAAGCTATGGAGCTGATTCAGGTGTGTTAGTATCTACAATGCTTGGGTCACTGTTCTTTCAACATGCAAACCAACATTTTAATTCCGTACCTTATTAGTCCGTAGAAGATTTTCCGGGCGACACCACTCCAATCACTTTTGTAGCTTATTATTGTAATATTTGTGTCTCTATGTTAAGTATAAGTCTTAGGGTTGTTATGTATTTCCATGCTCCCTAGGCTTTTTTATTGTAATTGATTGTCGTTGTAAATTTTATGAGAATATAAAAAAAAGATTTTCCCTTTATTCACAGTTTCCTCCTTGTCTTCTATTAGAGTAAGTTCAAGAACATGCATTTTACCTTATTGTAGATTTTCCATGTAATTTACCAAGCAGCCATTTTACCTATAGGATATAGGCCTTGTTTTGCTACTTTTTATATAAGATTTTGTTTTTTTGTGCAGTCGTTTGTTGCAACCCAGCTTCATCTGTTGGTTCAGTCAGCAGACAGAGACATGATGCATCTGAGAGGACACAGATCTGATGGTATGAACTGAAATCAAAATGCACTTATTCTTTACGCTAAACAAAATGAGTATCCTTTGCCATGCTTGTTAATGAAAACAAAGACACTAGTCAGGCTTAATATGACCCTATCCTATAATAAAAATATCTTCTCAAGTCACTGCTTGTTTAGGTTTGTATAACTGCAGATGAATTCAGTTGTTTTGGATTAATTTCGTTACATCTACGCACGAGATTCTTTTAAAGCAAACGTAAGCGGTACTTGAATAGAAATTTCGTTTTACCATGATAAGGAATTTTTCAAATTTTTAAGGTCGACCATTAAATCTGAAAGAAAGACTAAGATCACTACAAAATATGCAAAATCAGTTAACTGCGTTGCGAAACCTACTGAGATATGGCTCACATTGCATCTTTAAGCATCTTTAATCAAATATATGTATGACTGAGACAAAAGTTTGATAATAGCTGTGACACATATAACAAAAATGTCTATTGACAATTGTCAACTTAAAGAAAAGCAAGAATTGCTATAAGTTTTATTTAGAAAGTTGTTAACCGTGGATTACTTATGATGCAACTTGGAGCCCTATAAACCAACGCCTGATTTGATTATATTAAACCTATTCCTCAAAATGTGTTTCATGTCTACTGTGTTAAAAGCGACTTGTGTTTAGTGTCCTTTATTCGTTAGAGCACCGGCCTGTCTTTGAATAGAGGCAAACAGTGAAGCACTTAATAGGAAATATTGCATGATTTTGTCTTAAAATTCTTTGTATAGTTATTCTTGTTACATCTTGACGGCACTATTCTTAGAAACGAGCTGGGTGTAAACATAAGTTGATTATTGAAGCGGACATACAAACAGTTGATGCCGTCGGCTTGCAAGGATACTTTATATAAATCCTATTAGTTTAGGCGGCTTACATCCGATCGTTTCTGTTTCAGATGAGAAGGGCGAATCACGTCGATCTAAGTCCCATGGAAGAGGCTCACACAAAGTATAATGCTTCGCTGAGATGGACAAAGCTATAGATACCCTTCAGCGAGCCATGCCACCGTGTCGTGCCCTCAAATGATGTATTTATTTGCGAGATTTTGTATTACTTTGTGTCGTAGTTGGCTCTCTTACAAATCATCAGCATCTATCATCATAATCATCTTCATTATCACTTCAGGCATAATAATAATCATCACCATGACCATCTGGCTACACGTGGCGATCTTCGATTTGAAATCACATAATCAATTGTAGCAGCATGTACAAACAATTTGTAGTGAATAATTAAAGAAACCTCAGGCAAATCTGAGTATTAATTATGGTCTTAAAAAATGTTTTGATTCATTGATAGAAGGCAATCACTGTATGGCTTAGAAATCATGTTTGGTTTTCTCAAGATTTTTGCTTTTGGTTGTACGATGCTAGTATTTCGCCAGTGTGAATGTTTGGTGTATATGGTAAAGAGAGCTGTAAATATTTGATTGAAAGTCATTGACAACAATACACGCAACTGCATTCAATTGCTTGCTTAAAGTTGCAGTTAAGAAGTTATGTCCTTCACAAACTAAACCTCTTGTTTGTTAGATCTTGTGTTTAGATAATTGTTACAAATCACACTTTTTATGCAAACACTTTATATTTTGCTGAGCCTCAATATCCTTAGAAATATATGATTCTGAGCCTGAGATTATTGTAAAACAATACCTAAGAAAAATGTTCAAATATTGACCACAGTTTTTCTTAATCACAAAACATTGTAGAGAGTGAATCAAACTACCGCAATTCAAGCTTGATGAGTGCTACGTAACATTTTTGAAGCCAAGCTTCTCTAATTTTCTCAAAAACACATGTAGATTAAAAGTCAAATTATCGATTAAATTCGAGCCTGGTTAAGATTCCTTTGGCCTATTATTTCTTAAATTTTAACAATTAGGAGCCTGAAAATTGTTAGAAACTTTATTCTTATAATTTGATTCTTGTTTTATAGTCGGTCCACTTGAAGTCACATTGTTGGCTACTGCATCAACCTGCCCCCAGCTCCTTTTCAATCCTTTCCCCTCAGACCTTTCCCCTAATTACGTCATGGCGCAATGCATTCTGGTACTTGTAGTTAAACCCGCGAATATTTGTTTATGTTTTGTACGGCGATCATACGAAGTTCTGTTATTATCCAATGCTCTTTGCTCGAATAATCAAACAAATCATGGAAAATACGGCAGAAGATATACCGAACAGCACATTCCAAACGTAAACAAAAGTTGGCGGGTTTACCTACAAGTACCAGAATGCATTGGGGCATGATGTAATTATAGGAAAGGTCCTTACTGGAGAGGGAACATTTGGTGTTACTATAAATCCAGTCTGCTGCCCTGCAGATATATTTAACTGTTAAAGGATCAAATCTATTTTTAGTAATCCGAGGAACGCCTGCTAACGTAATAGTGAACATGATGTCTTCTTCGTGGGAAGGACATGCCTGAGCCTGCTTCGATTAAAGCTAGATGGGTTTCTTTTAATTGTAAGTTGGTCAGTTTTCTTCCAAGAGGTTAACTATTTTGATCAAACACTAGGCCTTAAAAACAATTCATTTGAAATAAGCTTGTTTGTGAGACAGGACTATGGTCTACAAATCCATAAACCATTTGACTTGAACTATGCGATCAACAAACAAATTGACTTAATAATGTTTTGTTTTTTATCGGTTTTATTAGAACATGATTTGGGCTCGAAACTATATTCCCTGTAATGGAAATTTTTTTGGGTATCCGCATTTTTATATGCAACTGTGTATGAGAAACGGACCCCTTAGATGACAAAATTGATGTTTAACTTTGCGTAAATGGAAATAGGACCTCATTGTGGCTGGTTAGGGGTTCTGTTCTTTTCTATGTTTTATTTTCTTCTGATGTGTTGTGTTGTGTTATGTTGTGTTGTGTTGTGTTGTGTTGTGTTGTGTTGTGTTGTGTTGTGTTGTGTTGTGTTGTGTTGTGTTATGTTGTGTCATGTTATGTTATGTTGTGTTATGATATATTATTTTCATGTTATGCCATGCTATGCTATGTTATATTATGTTTTGTTTTGTTTTGTTTTGTTTTGCTATGTTATGTTATGTTATGTTAAGTTATGTTATGTTATTTAATTTTATTTTTTTGTTTATTTTATTTTATTTATGTTGCAAATTGGCAAAAAATGAAGAAACTGAGTGCTAATGCCAAGATAGTTCCTTAAAAATTCGTGTATAACAGCTCGCGGTTATAGCTTTGCGTGTTTCATTTACGTAGCAAAGTCATATTCCAGTTTGACACCCCTAAAGCCAATTTCTTATTAACGGCGTTTTTTAACCGTTCCCATTCGTTATGATTACGTGGTTTGTTTAAAGTGAAATTGCAATGGTGTAAAGCACACTTTGTAGGCAACAAAACTTTGTTTGAAACAGAGTGAAAATTTCAATAATTGGAGTTGTAAACGGTAATTCATGGCCAAATTCTGGTCAATGCTGCATGGAAGTAGGTTTGTAAAGGTCAGGTCAACTGAAAACACATGACAATGGTTGTACTAGGACAAATATTCCAGCGTTCAGAAGAGCTACACATTTTTTTCCTGAACATCAATATTATTTGATTTTTTTTCTTTCGAGTCTAAAATTATTTTTAAATTATTCTTAAGCAACTCAAGGTATAACGGAGTCGAATTTTCGATTAATGACTCCAAGGCCAGATACGCCTATTTCAAAACACTTAGCGTAAAACTCGCATAAAAAATTTAGCTCTTGGTGAAGCTTGAGCCTTGCATCATTCTCAAATTATTCTTAAATTTCAGCGACTTTGAGCCTTAATAGTCTTATAAACTATAATCTTAAAAAGTATCTAATAGGATTGAAAACAGCTCCATGTAAAACCCAGAATGAGAAGGGAGACATTTACTTTTTTGAAATTTTCTCGAAGTATGTGATCACTTTAGTTTCTTTCAAATGCTTTCCAAGTTATTCGGAACATGAAATGCTCGCGTACGGCTCACACATCTATTTTAATGTGTGTAAAACAAGTTGAAAGTGTTACTGTTTTTCGCAAGTAAATTGGAATTAACGACAAAAGCAGCGAAGCCGAATTTTTAGCTTTGCTACAAGCGATCGTCCTTTCCCTGGTACCGAAACGAAATTAGTTCGATGAAATCCTTTGAAATTCTACCGTAACCCTACAGACATGCAAATGAGTTGAGAATTGTTTGGTTTTGGCCTCTACTGCGTTACATTCAGCCTCGTTAACCCATTTGCCCCTTTTATACACGGTTAGTAGGCCAGATAACATTAAAATCTTTGGGTTTGGCATATGGAGAAAATTATCATATTATGGTGAGTTTGCGTATCCGTTTTTTTATTTGTCAGCTTGGTAAAGTTGACAAGAAATGAGATTATTTTCTAAAGAGAGTGTTCTCATCTTCTGGAAGCAAGCAGAAATAAAGTTGTTTAAAAGCTCATGCATGGTGAGTAGATTTGTGTTTTCCTCCTCTCTGTGTGCATTTTTGAAGATTTTAACAATAATCTTGAACAGCACACGAGTTCATTTATCTTAAACAGCAGGGCTTTATCGCGAAGGACAGTTTTAGTGTCACGAAACAGCCCGGTCGACCATATTTACGGTCATGTAAAAGACATAGAATAAGACCTTCATTCGTTTTCATTTTGGTTGCAATTTACCACAAAATTAGCGATCACTTTGTTAAATTTTGTTTTTTACACAAAAAGAAAGAAAGAAAAAACCACAATTTTAGGAAGTGCGTCTCTATTACTTATAAGCTGTTTTTATATGTATTAGTAATATTGCACGGTATACTTCGTGTGGTTACGACCAAATTCACTTGGTAGATGTTACGACATGTTGTGGTGAAACATATCGGAATGAAACTTTTTCGTACAAAATTAAATGTTCAAAAATCCAGGCTGAATTAATGGAGCATACAGCAAAGTATTTGTAAACATCGAAGTTCATAAGTTCTTATCAACAACTTATTTAACTTATTTTGCAGATGAAGCTTTCAATTATGAAATTAATCGAATGGTGATAAAGTGACAGTTGTGTAAAAGTTGAAGCTAGACCATCAGAGAACAGTAAGATCCTTTTTAACTCTGACAAGTCACCAAAACATCTATTTCGTTGCTTACTTCTCGACATATATACTTAGATATTTGTCCAACGAAATTGTTTTTGAATAATATGATGAAAATATTTTTTTATTTTACACATCATATGATTTGGTTGCTCAAGTTTTAAGAGCATTGTTGTAAGAAAGAAAAAGCAAATTAAACAACTAAATGTAATGTGTGATTCATGTGTCGATTCAAAGCATGTTAGCAATGGAGTGCTGGCCTTGCAGATTGTTAAAAAATACTTCGAAGTTAGATTAGGCTTCTTGATTTTTAATTGGGTCACGGAGTCCTTCAAATATTAGGTTTCTCGTGGATCCAGCATCTAACATATTTATCCGGGATTTTTCTAACTCATTATGAATTAAACACAAATGATTTCCAAACCTTAAAACCCAATATATGTTGTACTTGTTGCCACTAGAATCGATATGTTTAATGTTCTTAAGTTATACATCATACTCAGCTTTGACGCCATAGGAATCTTGGTGGTCATTTCTTGCTGTGTGTTCCTTTAAAGGAGAGCGCTCTGTTAGATTGTTTTAACTTGAGTCCCAGAACTGAAAGCAAGTCAACTCTGGAAGTATTTGTGCATAATGTAAATCTGTCTTGATCGCAGCTTACCGCTATTAATCGACTCTACACTCACATGCAGCTGAAATCATTATTCAACGTTTCATGAACGTTTATTTTTTAGCTACACAAGGAATCACCATGGCAAGTTCACATATGGTGGCTTTTCTGCAGAAAGTGAGTTTTTCTAGCATTCCATATTTTTGCAAGCCCGTACGTAGCCAGGCCTGTGGAGTAGGCGTGGCAAACTCTCCAAACCTGTTGCAGGCAGACGTTTCAGCCAGTTTGCTATATTTTTTCTAAACAGGGAAAGTTTTTTGGTTTCTTGAGCGCCAGGCACATCCTTAAGTCCTTCATGGATATCAAGCGACCCCAATAAAATTTTTTTCTTCAGCTAGTATTAGCTTGACTCAAAATGCCATGAAAACGACGAAAAACCCCATTAAAAAATTGGAGACAAAATTCTCGGGGTGGCAAATAGCTGGTATTCTCTTGCTCAAGGGTGGCATTGACACCCCATGCTACCCCTTGGCTACGGGCCTATACTTTTGCTTTAGCAGCCCTGTAATTATATTAATTCATGTGTCTTCGTTTTGCAGTTAAAAATTTAGAGGATTATATGCTGCACCAAACGAATCATTGAAGTATCTAGGCCGTACAATTTCGACGGCCTCTTTTCATGCAAACTTGTAAAAATATTGGTGTTTTTGTGTCACAAAAAGTCATTGTAAGCCTACGACAATTTTTTGTCCGCTGTAAGGACCTGTTGGTTGCCTGGTTCGTCCTTAAAAGAGGATCTGACCACCGGAAAGAAATTGTGAGACAAAGTTACATGTCTTTTGTTTGGCGGTATCCGTTATTTGGAGGTGCCATGTAACGGAGGTTCCACTTTGTCATTTGTTGTGACACCGTCACCTAAACAAGTTCATATTTCTGAATGTCTTATTCGATCCATGCGATTTTCCCTTTGTAACGACTTCTTCTTGTCTGGGGGTAACTGTGTCTCTTGTCTCTTCAGTTTCAAATGGACAAAAAGACTCCATTGATTCTTTATCTTGATAAAACCATTATCAGTTCGTCTACCATTGCAGATCAGTTTGCCTTAAAACACACTTAAATCCCTTAATCGTTTGTCCTTATATCTGCGTACGTGGGAAAAGTATAGGCACTAGATGAAATTCATAAAATTCCCTTGCTCTTAATCAATTAGCCGACAGGTAAGTGGTGAACGATTCTTTCGATAGATATCATGGCCAGTAAGTTAAAATTCGTTTTTGTAGAGTACCTACTCTACTTTGTATTCTATCAGCACGTGTAGTTGAGTACTCTAATGTCTCTAATAAAAGGGGGAGGTAAAGAAAGAGGGTGTTCATTCCGGCCAATTTTCAATAGAAGGGGGTGCTAATAGAAAGGGGTGTTCATGTCGACCAGTTTTCAATAGAAGGGGCTTATAATAGAAAGGGGTGTTCATGTCTGCCAGTTTTCAATAGAAGGGGGTTGCTAATAGAAGGGGGTGATCAGGTTGGCCAATTTTCAATAAAATGTCAGCAAATTTCAATAGCAAAGGGGAGCTAATAGAAGGAGTGGATGTTGGTAAATCTTTTAATTAAAAGGCAGTATCTTAGGAGGATTCCCCCCAATTTACGCGTTTCGTTCTCAAAGACAGGAACCTACTCTTTTTATAAATCACATCGCTTTTTCATTCAATTTTCTGCGTGTTCTGGTCATGACAGATTTGTATAATTTAATATAAAGGGGGTGCTAATAAGCCAAGGGGGGAGGGCAAATTCTTCTGAAATTATCTATTGAGACACTAGAGTAAAATACAGTGAAAATTGAGCTCAACATTCGCAGAAGATGTGTAATATAAGTACAGTTTCTTGAATACAAGAACACCTCAAGTCCATTTTGGAAGATTAGAATAGGCTTCTTGAGTTTCTAACGAAAACAATAAAAGCTTAATTGAACAGTGTTTTATGTGGCAAAAATATTCGCCGACGTAACATTAGCTTCAAAATAAAGAACCGATTCAACCAAGCAGTATGTTATTTTGCCTTCTGTGTGTTACTTTTATTCAGGAATGATGATTGATCCTAAATAAAACCATGGTTAACTTTTGACTGCAGATATTGTTCGATTTTAAAGAAAGGGGCGGATGCTACATTTGCCTCTTCGGAAGGCGCTAACATCGCACCCGAAATCCCCCTCCAAATAAGGGGAAATTTGTCGTGGGATCTTTCTAGAGAAAGTAGGTTGTGCCGCTATATTAAAGGTACCCTCATTCGCACCAAATCACTTCAAAAATTAAGTTCCAGAAAGGGTAACTTTGTCTCCCTGTCTGGCATTTCTATCACTGATCAGTGCTTTCTATGGAAGAATTTAACCTGGCGATTCCCCTGTCTGAGAGAGAAATAATTTCAGGAATGGGACCCATTCCCAAATGCTGCAATTTAAAAATGACTGCTCTAAAGGTTTTCTTCGGTGCTAAATCTAAAAACATGCTGAATACAATTAGATTTTGTCTAAGCAAGTTGAATAGTTTTATTTTGTATGACACTGAAAAATTTCAAGTAGTTACTTGACATTGAATACACGAGGATTTACAATATTTTGTCATTAGCTATTATTTGCATGTTCTTCTACACGTGCTAATAATTTTGGCAGGAGTGCTAATCATTATACTCACTGATGGGAAAGTTGCAATATACTATGACTTCAATAGATACCATTGCTGGAAACCAGACTGCCATTTTGCCAAAACCTCTTTTGCTTTGAAAGGGAAACATGGTTACTCGGTTAAAAATACCTCATTGTTGCTCAGCGTTTCCAGGTTGCCAGAAACAGTAGATAAAAGTGTTTACACATGCTGCAAGTGATTCAACCGATGATTTTTATGCAACGAAATTTTAAGGAATGTTGCAAGAGAAACATTGGGATTTGCTTCGCCAATCAGAAGCCGACCCTTTGCATAGAAACTGAGCTGTGGTTGCCCGATGTTTTTTTACTGTATTCATATACCAAAAATTATCTTGTGCTCTTTGTTTCGAAAGTAGATAAAGACTTGCCTCTCGAACGCCAAATTCTTAGGGTTTCAATTCCGTCGGTGGTTCACTCATTTTAATAAAAAACCGCATATTAAAATCTTCTTACTAAGCATCAAGAATCTTCTTTGGATGATTAATTTGAGATTAAGGGACGTTTAAACTGTGTTTATGCAGCTTGCATTCTCTTTGGTTGATAATTGTTGCTTGTCGTTTTCAGTATTTTGTCTCCAAAACTAAACGAAGCATGGAAGAGGGGAAACACAATAAAGAGAATATTAAAGCAAACCTTAGTTACTTTTAGGTTAACTTATCGGGCTACTGCGTTGCTGAGATGGTTTCAGTTCAAGAATGAGAACTTTTCAATGATTCGAGGGTAGAATTAATATGAATACGTATTGCAACAATACATCATTTAGAGCTACTCTTGTTTGGGCCTAGTCGAAGTTTGCTCCCGTCATCGCCATCTGTGTTGCCTGTGTGAGAACATAAGTAGATAGTTTTTCAAAGCCTACTTAAAATATGCCATATTGGAATGAACGTAGAAGCCCCCCCCCCCTAAAAATCCAAACATTGGCCTTTCCCCCAAATATGATACAAAGTGCACTTGCGGTAGGTCGATAGGTCACGAAAGTCCCTTGTGAAGGAGCATAATCAATGATCGAGAAAATTCGGTAAATCTCAAAAAGTAATCGTTTTACTGAACTCTGTTATAAGGCGCAGAATTTCAGGAAACTGAGATCATTAAGATATTATTGATTTCCTCTCCACGAATGCAGAATTTTCATTGTGACGGAGGAACGATGTGTTATAATATGTCATTTAGCATTAAAAAGGGGTTTAAGAGATTGAGGGTAAAACACAGAACGAGAGACGGCTAGGGAATACAGAAACAATGCGGTTTTGAATAGAACAAAACATTTCTGCAAATATCTGATTGCATTTTTAGCCCTGAAGCAAGACCAATGTCATGTCGCCCCAAATTTCAGCGTCTAAAAGTCAAATGAAATGTGATTATTTCGATTTCAGGCCCCTCTTCTTTCATTCCAATGGCACATTCATCATCCCCAGACACATGCAGTCTTCAATAGAAGTAGCCTGGTTATGATCCAGCAAATTTACTGACGCATTTCCTCCTTATTTTTCTTGAAAGTTTGTTTTGAGAAAGTTTGACTTGATATTAAGGACTGCGGAGCATGTTACAGATTGAGGGTGCTACAACCTTTTTTTTGGGGGGGGGGGCTACATACTACAAACCAAGAATAGGACAATTTTTGGTTTGATTATAAGTACATTCTGGATTTTAAGTGCGTCAGCCCCCCTTCCGCGGTGCCTGCTTGATATAAAAAAATTGCAGCCTTTTTATGGTTCCTTACCAATTGCTAATGTTATTGAAGTCGACATTTGCAAGGTGCTATCGTGTTTCTCAATTTATTACTGCAAGATCTTTCTTGCAGGTTCCCGGACATTATTTCAATTAAGTGAAGTTATACTCTTGAATATTTCGGTCACAAATGCAGCGCAAATATCTCAACGAATGTTTTTGCCAATTCAATTGGTTATTGTGTAGGGGGATATCGATTTCTATCGTTGGTGCCTGTCAACAAAAGGGCCTACTTTTACTAATTTTTTTGGTAGTCAAAACTTTTTAATGGCTATTATTTAATTTCGTAAACAATCCAACTTCGACCGAATAAAATCCAACTTTATGTTTCCAATGACGTCATAGTTGAACGATTGATTGTAAAATGGACTGATGCAACACCAGCTGGAAAGTGTAATCTCTTTAAAAGTTATAAATAAAAATGTAGATAACGATCCTTTTATGAAAGGTAGTACCACTAAAGACTTCAAGAAAGTTCCAAGAATGAAAAAGGAAATTTTAACCCTATGTGATCCTACAGCTATTTTTTATCACTAGAAATTTCCTTTTTTGCATATTTGATATATATGATTATTGATGCACATTCCTTGATTAATAAAAGATAGATCATCAGTTTTTATGTAAAGTTTTAGCTGAGGATGATATGTATAGTTCTAATCGAAGCGATCAAATGATGATTACGATATCATCTGGTCAAAATATTTCAGGTCTTAGTAATGGAAGTCTCTTTACCAATATCTCAATAATGGAATGGTCTTATTAGTCTTCTGTATGAAAAATTTGAAATATAATGCTATGTTCTAATGAAACAGTATTTTATTGTAAAAGTCTTAGAGAAAAATTACTGTGATCTGCATTGACGTAGGAAACGTTCAAAAGTGTACATAAATGTACTCTGTATTGTACATAAACACTTTATCTCCGCTTCTGAAAAGTGGGGATGATACGTGAACCCTATGCCTCCTATGTCCCCTATTCCCCCTATGCCCCCTGTGCCCCATTTGCCCCATGTGCCCCATGTGCCCCATGTGGCCCCGGTTCCTATGTCTATGGTCATCTGTATCTTCATTACAATGGACCACACTTTTTGGGAGCCAGACATTTTTATGCCGAGTCTCGATGTTCTAATTATTTTGATTAATTGCGTCTCAGGTGCTCCTAATGTTTGTCTTCTTGAAAATGGTTTTTTACAATTACATACTATAAATTGTTTTCAAGACTACTTACTAAAAGTTTTGCATAAAATTTTATGGCTGATAACCTGATAAAGTCCTCTTTTTCATCAACACACGAGAACGTTTTAAAAACATGTTGTTTTTTCTTCTAAAATGTCATCTGAGGCTAGAAATTTTCTTACGTTGTTTTCGTCAAATTGAGCATCGATTCTCTGTAACATTTGTTTTTATTAAAAATGTGTACATGTTCCATTGAGATAGGGTTGAAAGATCTCTATGACATGTCCACAAGTCCTATGCTAGCAGTCCTAATTGAATTCCATCATTTATATCAGCCAATTCCTCCTTTCATACTTGATACTGTGTGAGGGTCACTTTTCTAAAGATACATCACCCCCGCAGATCATCACTGACCACCTGTATGCACTAAGCGTTTGCTACAGAAAGCCAATCCCAGTTCTGTATAGTCGGTTGCTCTGTATGAACTATAAAATGATCTTTCTTCCGCAGGGTGCTCCATTCACTCGAAACTGTCATAGGCAAAGGCACAAAGGAAGCATGCTGAATTTCCGATAAAGCAGTTGTTGCAGAGATTTCTCCAGGTCACGCTCAGAAAACTCAGCCATCCTTGACAAAAGAGCGAGACAGTCACGCCATCTACGTCTTGGTCAATATTCGCAGAGCTCAGGTAATGTTCTCTTACCCATGTTTTTCTTCTTTGTGAATGATGAAAACTGCGTAAAAATCCGCGGATAATCGAACCCAAACCTAAAGGTTCCGGTCTATGGTTTGTAGTTCCTTTCTGGATCAGATAGTTGTCCTGTGGTCTCTTTAAAAATAATCAAAAGCTATTGAGTCACACACATTTATGCAAGAAAAAGACACTATAAGACTCGCATAAGCATCACGCAATTTTTTATCAATTCCTTTATTTTTATTCACATTTGCTTTCTGAAAACACCGTAAGAGAGTGGACATAAAGAATGGATCCCAGTCAGTGCCTGAACCACACCCTTACTTAGAGGATCTAAACTCTGTAAGGATGATTTACTAGAAGAAGTTTACCGACATTTAGGAAGCATGCTTAAATTTATGAACAAAGCTTTTGTTAAAAATGTATTTAACTGTATCTAAAGATGGTTAAGAATGCCTTTCATTGCATATTAAAAGTAGCGAATCTGTATCGTTCTCAAGAAATGAATGCGATTCTATTGCTAGACCTACATAAAATTTATAATGATATCTTCCTGCAAAATAGGAAACTGGGAAGTTAGCCTCATAATTCACACTTCCAGCCAAGCCTCTATCTCCAAAGGGTATTTTGAATGCATTCTGTTATCGCTGCAAAAACTCTTTCTCTTACAATCTGAACATGATTTCTGTCCTTCTCGTTGTTCCTTATAAAAATAGATAACAGATAAAAAAGATCCAAAATTGAAGTGATCAGGACAGACTAGCCAACCTGTGTTTGAATCTATTATCTTTACAGGCAAAGGGCTTCGGATCTTACGCAGGGTTTTTCTCCGTTGGCCATTCTCCGTTGTCATATAGATATCAAATACAGTTTTACCTTCATATAATAGTAATGGTATTTGCATTTGAAACGGCGGTATCATAAGTTTTCTCTTTCAAGCTAAGTGGGTATGATAATTTGTGATAAGTTATTATGTTGCTCATCTGGGATTTTAATGTAAATTTAGAATGGAATTATTGGTAGCAAAATTTGAGATACAAGGAGGTACGATACTCAAAGAAAGAAATTGATTGGTGGTTGGGATGAATGGGCTTATGAGGAATAAGTGTCGTGGTGAATGAATGGGAGTAGCGAGGAAAACGGACTTTTTCAATCATAGTCCTTTTGCTTAACTTACAGTCACAATTTTTCAAGCAATGTTTCGTGTGACTGTAACCGCTTATAAATCTTTAGCAGAGTCTGAAAAAGCAGAAGAAAAGGAAAACTCACAATCATTTGAAGTCAAATGGGCATGCTTTTTGGAGATTTTGGCCCGATTGACGAAATGGGCAATGAAAAGACCCAAGCGATGCAAAGTACATACCCTAACTTATTTTTGATCATTAAGTTTTATTTCACTTTCATTTATTTTTGTTGTCTTTGGAAAAATGAGCGAAACTTGTTGCTAGACGGCAACAAAGAGCTGGATAGGTTTTATACCTAAACTCGCAAAAATTTTTGAAGGCTATCTTTAACCAAACATAATTCTTAAACCAAATTACGACTTTAGATTATAAAGAAGCAATAGCCACCCAAGGAGAAAGAGAGGTGGCTTGAGCTGGTAAATAGGCCACATGTAAAAAGCTTGGACTTCCAGATCTTCTCTGGAATACATAATCTAGCACTGCTTAAGGCCGTGATTAAATTGTACCATTTTATGATTGATTTCAGAATAAATTAAAAAGTCGGATGTCTACTTACAAGATGGTTATTTTTATCCCTTTATGTCAAAATTACAACCAAATCGTACATAATCGGTTTACGCAATGAATTGCTCCAAAAGTAATGATTTTTTAATGAATCTTTGACCTTTAAATGGCAACAACACTCTTTGCCTGCAACTAAATTAAATCTGTGGATGGCAGATTAATCTAAAACTTATTCACTATTTTATTGGCTTTGTCTATTATGTCAACGAGCAACGATAGCCAGACCTGTCATGCACATTTGGTTTAGTGTAAGTGGAATGGCATGATTCACAAATCTCATGAAGTTAATGAGGATTTTGAATGGATACTTGTTAAATGTATGTCAGGAAGGTGACCTTTGTCAGAAGCAGAAATGTCTTTAAGCCTTGCCATTAACAAACAGCCCCAATTCACCTGCCAATCACGTGCTCCCCGTGTTGTTCTCCCTTATATCAGTGCATCAAGCTACTCGTAATTTTAACATAGATTTGACGCCAAATTGTTTTTTATGTTAAATCGTTTTCCTGTTCGTTATGCAAATATTTGGTCGTGGATTTGCTCCAATATCAAATTAATCACGCAACCGAAATGCGTCATCGCTTAAAAGAAAATAAATAACTGCTCTCATGGGCATTGTATATCGAATTTAGTCTCCTTCCTCTCTATTTCAATCTACCAATGTGAGATTAATTCTTATTCTGTTTTTCCTGGGAGTCCGAGAATCCTCCAACAGTAAGTAGGTTTTCTTGAAAACGGAATGCCGTTCATTTATTCCCGCGGGGATCAACGCACGTGTGTCCACCTTAAGCGCCCATTTGAATCCTAGAGGAATAAGTCATGTTATAATCTGAAGAAGCTAGTTGAAACCGATCAACAAATTTCTATGCATCGTTGCCACATAAACAGGCATTTGCTATGAGTAAAACTCCCACCTCATATATTGACTTACACACTTTTATATAACAAAAATTTTATCAGAAAACGAGTTTCAAAATTGGTCAAAAGTTTAGAACAATTTAAGAACAAGCTTTAGACTGGAATATGTAATTTTGAACAAAGTTTTGAAACCTTTTATAAAATTCCATATCAAAACGCAAAGTTTTTCGATCGAGGCTGGGAGTGCTTTGTCCGTAAATTCCGAAAATAAAGGATGGCTTTGAGCACAATAGCAAGCGATTGCACTGCTTAAACCCTGATAATTTTAGAACAAATTAAGAGCAGTCCATCCTCAATGTTTTGGAAACATTAAGAACAGTTAGCCTGAACTTTATTTTTAAGGTTTTTAGTGTGGTGTTTATATGTATATTGTGTTTAAGTCATCGGATAGGTATTTTTATCGTGTCAGTCTGCAGTTTCTGCGTATTTCAGACGTTTGCTGACAAAAACAACAAATTGTTTTATGAGGGAAGATATTTGATCCATGTCATAAAAGAAACACACGCAAATTTTATTCATTCGATGATTGCATGACTATCAATTAATTGATATCTGCAGTTAGGTTTTAAAAGGTTATTAATCTTGATGCAATGTGGGCCAATATATCAGAATTATTGCCACTTAATTTGCTTTAAGAGGCAAAGGTTTGCAGGTTGGATTGGTTTGCACTTAGTTCTTTTTTATTTAGTCTTTATATTTTTTTCTATGTTTTTGATCTACTTTGTCCTTCTTATATTTATTCTTGTTTGTTTTAACTTGAAGGAAAGACTGTTCAAAGGCTGTAACTTTTTAAAGTTGTTTTCAAGGGGTTGCATAAAAAATCGAAGGCCAGAAATTTAAATGTCTGAAAATTCTCTGCTTTCCCTATGGGCCATTCTTATCTAAGATGCAAGCTTGTTTTCAGGCTGTTTTCAAGCTTGCTTAGGAACAAAAGATAAATTTTTGGCATCGCCCTTTCTAATGTCACGAAGCTCCCTTTTGCAAAGAGGGCATGCCAGATTTGCCCGTGGCTTCAAGTAACATAAAGACAGTTTCAAAATCCTTGAATCGTATCGCAAAAATTTCTCCACCAAAATATTTACCTTTACCTAAAATTTTTATAGAATTTAGACGAAATACAAAATGGGGAAGAGATATAACTTCAATTTTTGGTGATTTGTGATTTAAGAGGCCATTTTATTAGCGTCAACTTAATCTTTATTTTATCAATTATATGAAATTTTGAGCTTTATAAAACCTGTTGGTCATTGATTGGGAGATAAATGCTTGATTTTTTAAAATGTATTTTTCTCTTGATTTATGCTGGAATAACAACCAACTTAACAAGAGGACCTGAGATCCAATCGTTAAGACTAAAAAATTGACTACCTTTCTAGACATTTTGCAGTAAGAGGCTTTATATTCAGACAAAAATCCTTGAGAGGGGTCAATTAAAATACACTCTTGAGAGAAATGTGAGTAAAATACCAGTCTTGCTAGAAAATAGAAGTTTGTCTAAACCCTTAAACTGATCAGTAACATAAAATAAAGAGAGTTCTATCCTTCCACCGAACAACAATGAAAACAAGGTGTGTTCGGGTGTGTTACTTAGATTTTTTTGTTTTCATTGATCATGCTACGTTTTCTGGGCGCTGAAATTTAAATCTTCAATGAAATGAATAGTCTGAAATGACCTAACATGACAAAGATTTTTATACTTTCATCCAATTTATTTCTGAATCATTTTCTATTTAATAATTACTAGCTGAATAAGGGGTGGGAAAATATTGGTAGGAATTAGTGTACTTAGAGTCATGGTTTCTCTTTAATGCAGACGGATGGAAGAAAGCAAAGTTGTTCATCATCGTCATTTGTTCTGCAATTGCGACTCTGTTCTGGATTAGTAGCATAGCTTTTGTAGAATGAGGAAGCCTTGCTAGAAACAGTTTGAATAAGAAAATAACTTTTAAAAGAACTTTAAAAGGATCAAGAAGGATGCAAAGGAAGAAAATCAGCTTAGATCCTTGGTACTGGAACCACTGTCAATGAGAAAATATTAAAAGTAGTTTAGCGCAAAACTTGAGCAAGAGTTTAGCCCTTATATTCTTCCTGTGTTTACGATTTAGGAAATTTGATTATGACCACTTCGGACGTTGATCACTGAATGTTTTCACAAAAAATGTTTCTTTAAGCTGCCCAGCTATAGGTTGTGTAGGCTTTCCATTTTGTTTTCTTGTAGACAAAACAATCTCCTACTCTCTAACAAAGTTGTATTGTCTGCAACAGGGCGATCGCTGGAAGTATCACATAAGAAAAGTGCTAGTTCCGCTGTCTTTATTTAATAGAGAAATCGTGTGCTGAATTGAAGTTCTTTAATTGTTCCCAGATGCGACTGTATTAGAGACTGCGCCCTGAACTTCAAAGAGGAGAGGCCAAAGAGTAGGAAAAGTTGGGTTAATCAGTTTCTAACGGTATACTTTGAGCGCAATAGTGCGGGGTCAATAACTTCCTAACCCCTGCCTCCTTTTGCATAGCCTACTGTATATTATGAATGCATTGTATACAGTGTCCATAAATATACTAGCTTGCGTGCTATACAATGTAATAGAATAAAACTAAGAATTTAAGTGAAATTGTATACCGTACCCTACTCTATATTATGAATGCATTGTATACAGTGTCCATAAATATACTAGCTTGCGTGCTATACAATGTAATAAAATAAAACTAAGAATTTAAGTGAAATTGTTTACCGTGGCCGTGGAAGACTTTCTGCTGTATAGCGTAGATGCCATACTCGTGATGTGGAAAAGCAAATCTTACTCGATTGTCTACTAATCTTTTTTCTTCTCTCTTCCTCCGTTTATCTTTCCACCCCTTTTTGCGGTTCTTCTTTCTGTTCCTCTTACTTTCCTTTTCTTCTTCTTCATGTTTTTTCTCTTCTTCATCGTTTTCCTTCTGTTCTTCTTATTTCTGTTCTTCCCCTTCCTGACCTTCACCATCATATTCTTCTTTGCCTTGAGAGAAGGTGGTTTTTTGTTTCCCTCCTAACTAGCAATCCCTAATTGGCTGCATCAATCTACTCAACTAAAGAAGCAGAGTAGATTAAACAATTGCCGTTCTTTTTAATGTCGTAGATAAATAATAGCAAAGTCTTAGTTTATAAAAAATAATTGAAAAGTCTTAGAGTCTGGAGTGTGTTGAAACCCCTGCCTCCAATGCCCCCTGGCTATTTTAAAAACAGGATAAGCCAATCTGGGAATGTGAATCCAACATTGCATTCAGTTCGAAAATATGACAAAAAATAATCCCTTTTTTTGAAATAATCAGGTTATGTTATTCGTCCCTTATCTACCGGAGAAATTTCTTGCTCTTTTATGAAAAATGTATTGGAAATTTTTATTGGAAAGGATTGGAAAGAAGAAGCATTAGTTCTCAATGTCCTAAATTCTGTTTTGTGATTGATTGTCTTCTCTAAACTGAAGGTTATATCTATGAAATTATAGATTTATTCAACAATTCCGAGTGTAGTAAAGAAAGGACCATCATAGCTTAATATTTTGCTTTATGTCAAATATAGGATCTTGAGCAGTCCCATCCGATAAGAACCACATCCCCCATTTGCTATCTTAGGATGGAGTCCTTGTTTTGGATACCTTAAGCTATTTCGAGTGACATTGTTGTAAATTCCTAGCTGATCGATAATCGTCTACGTAGCCCCTGCTTAGATTGGGTTATCTTCTGCAATTTAATATTGCACAAATCGGGACGATAGTGGATTTGCTGCTCATTCATTAAAGATAAATGAGATGATATATTTCAGAAGCAGTTTATTGAATAAAATGAAAGTTTGATAGGACTGCCAGAGGCAATGACGATTTTGTAACAATATCTACATAAGCGACTAATCTTGTTAAACAGGCTTTGCCTTTTAATTGGTATTTAGAAATTGTATATATAAATCCAGAAAAAATTCTTTACCCTAGAAATTCTAATTATGCAAAACACCAAGATACGATTACGAGAGGCAATTTGATTTGCTTGACCAGGTTATGTACAAGAAAACTACCATTTGCATTTGCAACACATACCGTTCACAACATTATTTATAAGCATATATATTTGAATATACAAGCCAAAACAAGTTTCACAGCACATTTCACTCATATTTCTTTTCAAGTACTCTTCTTATGTGATATTTATTCATAGCAAAACACTGATATAAGTTATGTTTCAGCGGTTATGAATATGGTCTGATTTTTGTAGGTTTCTACAACTTGAGTAGAAAGCAGTTTGCTATACTAAAAAATGCTGCACTTTTCATATAAGAATGTAATTCCCTGATGTTGTCCTTATCAGGGAGTCTAGGAAATTGGTTAGGGTCAGGGTTAGGGTGTGGAATATGGGTTTCTGGGCTGTGCTTTATCTACATAGATCTATTCTTTTCAAGCATCGCTGATTCCGAAGATGAAATAACATATTCAGGAGAATTTCAAGGTTTTTGCTTTAAGAAAACCTATTAACGTAAATGAAAATCAATTAAAGCTTTTGTTTGGCATTTCCGTCATTATGTTAGATTGTCAAAGAAACTTCCTAATTTCTTAAATTAAAAACATTTTAAGTACTTCTAAAGCCTTTCGTGAATAGAATAATTTCCTTGGTTCCTCAGTATTAAACGTTTGAAACCGTTTTATCAAGTATATTCACACCTCTAACATTTAATTGCATTTTCTTTATTGAAATCCATATAGCATGCAGTCAGAGCTCAATTAAATATTTAATGAATTGTCCATCATAATCCATTTTCGCATACAAAAAAGGTGGACGTAACCCTTAGGGGCTGAGTGGGTGTCGACCTCTAATTGAAATATATTGAAAATGAGGGGAAGGCAGGGCGTGAAACATTGTATTCGTTGTATGGATTTTTAATGAACCTGCTGAGAAGTGGGCCAGAGTCAAGGACAATGTTAATCTTTTCTCTGGCAAACGAATCAAAACTTTAAAATCCTTCTTAAAAACACAAGGAATGGCGTGGTCTAGGTGTGGCTCTTTAAGTCCTTCCGTTTTCATTGACCCCCCTCGAGGCCACCGCCGTTGGCCACGTGATCGCCTCTTTTATCTGATCACTGATAAAGGCATTTAATTTAAAAAAAGGGATGAATGTATCAAGGAATGAATTCAATCCATTTTCTTTTAATTTTGAAGGTTTGAGCGAAATTTTTCTCCATTCAACATCATGTTTTTCATTGAATTGACACATTTATATCGTACCCATGCTGTTATTTTCCAAAGGATGAAATATAGCTGAGGAGCTTGCCAATGTACAGGAGCTTTTATATTGAAACGTAGGTCAACGGCCTTAATTTGTACGATCTCCGTTTGCGCCGTGCTCCATGTTATCGGAGCCCGAGAGCCTATTGTTCAACAAGGGAGCCTCATAGTTGTCATGGGAAATGACAGATGACCCGCCCACCCCACATATAATCATAGCCGCTTGAATCACAAGAAACGATTAGTCTGTTAATTCCAGTATACTGGCCAATCACCAGTTAGACGAATGTTTTCATTGAATGACTTTCTATGACGATTTCAAAGTCGTTAATGAGATAAAAGTAAAGTTCTTTCTAGTTTTGCTGCATTTGTTTTGAGTACAAGTGTGCGAGCAATAAGACTTGTGATTATAGCATAGTTTTGTAAACCGTTCAACCTTGTTTGTTCCTATTTCCATAGGACAAGGTATCTCGAGGCCAAACTCCGTGTCTTATTTGTTCGGAAACACGTTTTTCGAGGAGAGAGAGATCCTGCGCACGATTTCCGATGAAAATTTTCAAACCAGTCGATGCTGTTTTGCAGATCTGGAATTTTTCGACGATTTTTCAAAGGTATGTTGCACTTTCTATTCCGAATATTCGAAAGTTGTGTACAGATCACTCTTCTGAATGTTCCAGAGACCATCGTGTTTTCTATATATTAACCACAGCAATTGAGATTCCACACGAACCACGGTTTGTATCGATTTATTCAGCCCCATAAGGAGCTTTTAATCTTGCGTAGGGAGATATCCTAATAAATTGGAAGAGAAAAAATGACCTTGATAACAATTTATATTTATTCATGAATTTCAGGATTTTCGCAAATCCACACAGCATTAGCGAAATCAATCAATTTTACGTTTTATTTCGGAAACGTGTTTCTCGATTAATGCGATTTGAATATATGAATTATGAAATGCTCGAACGAAACTACAAAGTCGGGTAAAGGCCTTCACCAACGTGCGGCAATGAATTTATTGATGCAGATTTGATTGCTGTAGCAATTGTTTTATTTAATGGCGATTTTATCGTTCAGTGATCCGATTGCCAAAACATGAAGGAGTAGATATGGAAAAACGATTATTCTAAATAAGATAAAGACGCATTCATATATTACGGCTACCTGAAGTTTTAATAGTTTTCATGTCAGCTATGAAGTCGTTTATAGTATTGCAGGATTTTTACAGAATTATTTTTCGTCTGAGATTTCCGTATCCATCATGACGTAATAGATACCAATTTAGGACCTCAGTGGCATACAGAGAGGTTCAAGAACTATGTTACCGAGATTTGTGGTCGTTCGTTGAATTGGGCTTCCATAAATTTCAGGCTATTTACCCTGTGTTTCTCGCTTTTTTATATTTCCATCGTGTTTTTTCGGACCCTTATTCTGACGTTTTATACTCTGAGAAGTAGCTTTAAGTAGTATGTTGTGAAATGTTTGCTTTTTCAAAGCCATTTTCAAGTTCCCTACCGCCAAAAACTGTTCAAATTTCCATCTAATTTATACTTTTATCATGTAAGACGATTTGATATACTAGCTTGCATGCTGTAAAATTTGATAGAATATAACTAGGAATTTAAGTAAAATCCTTATTTATAAGACTACAGTATTAAGTATCGGTAAACGTCAAGAAAACACCGCGCTTTCTCTTTTCTGGGGAAAATATTACCTCGAAAATGAACCTCTGCTAGTGAACTGAATGCTGTCTGGAAACTGATTTCATATTCTACCTATCCTTTTACTTCTTTTGTTAGATCATACTCTACCTAAGATAATTACATCTTAATACAGGTTTTGAAAATTGCAATTGTTAAACGGATATACGGATTAATGAGTTTTTTGAATTTCATATTGATAAAGCAGGTTATGATATACTTGAAATCGTGTTCTTTTTGAGATTATGTTGAGCATTGAAAATTAACGAGATTGATTTTTGAGAGTAATTTTATATTATGACATTTGTACAATTGAAAATCGAAGGTCTGTTGAGGCTTGAAGCTTTGTCGATGCTCGGTTTCAAGTAGACAAATTCAACTTTTTGTGCTTAAAATTATGATTTCTGTTTGCTATGCTTAAATTTTTCACCACAAGAAAGGTTGTAATCCCTTTGTACCTAATATTTGATGCTTTCATCTGTTTAGTCTAATTCAATACAAAAGACCATCCACAGAGCTCTCGCCAATGATGCCAGTGTTGTAAATCTGATTTAAAAAAATGCCTAGTCGTACATACAAAAGCACAATACAGTTAATGCTTGACCGTGCATCCGCAGCAAAGGTTTCCGAGGCATTGCTTTTTGGCTTCAAAGAAGGCCATCAACATCGCTTCGTTTAATTTGTTTACCAATGTACCTTTTGTTCGCAAGAAGGATATTTTACTTTAAAAAATATCTTGATGGTGTATTTTACCTCTAGACTTTTTCGTTTTCAAGTTGCGTGGCTTCAACTATTCTCTATCTGATGTCGAGGTCTCCATGATGCAAAAATGAAGTTGTCCCTCTCCAGGAACTTCCTCGGGGTTTGCGTATAAGGTACGGTTCTAATGCAATGGCTGTTTCATCTGACTCTTACACCCATCTTTCTTCTCTCCCCAAACTCGCATTCATTCTGCTTCAACACAAAGGTCACAAGCCTTGAGCCTTGACTTCCATCTCCTTTTTATTCCCAACAGCAAACGCAACAACGCTTTCTCTTTTCAAACACTGCATTCATTCTCAAGCAAAGGGAAATAGAATGGAAATAATATTAATTATAATAATAATTCATTTCTTGTCGATAGGCGTTATTTACAGAAGCATTTTTGATTGAGGCGTTTTCCTACACATTATTTTCAAAGACGTTGTAGATATCCGTCTGAAGCGCTGGTCTGAAGTGACCTGATAAAACGCCATTTATTTATTTGCATATGAATAAGCCTACTTTTTAATTACAGGCGGGTTGTTAAAATCTCCCACCTATGAACAAGTTCTTTTTCTTGAGGATCATAGAATAACACTTGTCTAGATAAAGATGTAAAGAAATATATGTCAATAGAAATGTTCCCGGCTGGGCGTCCAATTTTATTGAGATGCATGGACAAGAGACTTGGTTTATTCGATTCGCGATAACAAAAGACAAAGCGGGTCTCAGTACAGGAAGATATGAGTTTAGTTTTCAAGCGAACGGCGCTTTTCTCTTGCAAATCACTTGATTCACTCAGTGTGCGAATTCACATTGCTTAATCTTTGTCCAAGCTGCACGACTTGCCTTGTGGTTTTAAACGTTAAAAATGCTGCCAGACAAGAGAGAGACAATCACTATCAATTCGTAATGCTGTGATTATCCAAGAGATGGTGAGCCTTGTTCATATAGTCTTGTCCGTTTGTTTGTTCCGATCGGTTTTATTTTTTATCTAGGCCTTTTTCTAATATGCTTTAGCAATTTCCTGGCAGTTTTTATGGCATCAACCGAAGCATCACCATTCGACAATGCTGCCTTCGGTCAAAGAGTTGTAGCATAAAACATTACCAACTCATGGCTGGAAAAAGGATTGATTATTATCAAACTGGGATGCTATTTACCATTTCAACCTGCCATGTTGTCTTTCTCTGAACCTTTTTAATTTTAGCTGATTCTACAATTTTAATGGTTCAAATACCTCATCCTAGAGTAGTAGCTAATCTTTACTTTTTGCATTTATATTAACTCTAAATAGCACGAATGCTTCCTTTCTCGATGTCTTCCATGCAAAGATATTTTCTTTGCGTCCTAATTTGTTTACAACTTGAGGTTATTTTGTGTGATTTGTTAAAGAATATTGAGATGGACAATGTCCTTTTGCGAACATTTTAAATCCAAGTAGAAGCAATAAACCATTTATAGAATAAAGATATCTGCTAAAAATTTGAAAGCGTTTGAGTTATCATTAAGAGACCCAAAGCAAAAGACATGTTGACGCTTAAACCATTGTCAATTTATTTACAGCCATCTGGTAAAGGAAAGAAATGTTTTTTTGGATATAGAGCCAAAACAGTGAAATTCTAATTTTTAAATGTGGTGCAAGGAAACCATCCAAGCCTGATTTTTTTAATGACCTAGGGACTCGCATAATTCTCAAATGATAGAAAATCTCACGTACTGCTAGCTGTAGCAGTAAAGACTTTCTGTTCTATGGCCATGTTGATTTCCAAGTAGTTTTGGACTGCAATCGGTTGAATACAGGCTATACATCTTTATTTATCACCTCTTTCTTTATATAAGTATTTCATTTCGATAATTTGTCTTCAAGATAGTCTGCAATGCAAGTGAGTTACACGAGACTTCAATGAAGAACTTGTAGTCTAAGCACTGGAAGAAAATCAAACGCGAGAAAACGACTTGATCATCAATTTGGTCACGTTATTTAATCAGAGTGACTCTGCACATCATCATCATCATGTCTTGGCTAGCTAGGTTTCTGTTGACTGAGTATGCGAAAAAGCATGGTTCAAAGTTACAGCACATCTTTAACTATTGCTAATCCCTTTCTGGACTTTAGCAAAGTCTGAAAGGATTAGCACAACGAGGCCGCTGAACTAAAATACTAACATCTGTCTTACTGCTTCTTAAGAAGTTGTAGATGACTCATGTTTGTTTGAATCGATAGGAAGCCTTACAAACCATTCAGCATTTCTGTAAGTGTGGTTTGTAGCGCTTTATTTTCATCCATCGCAAGTTCTTTTGGCAACTGTAACCCTTTGTTGTCCTTGTTAGTCGCATAGCCTTTATGAAACAAAGATAAAGATTGCTTTTGGAGCAAAATAATTTCCAAATAATCGTTTAGAAATTACGAACCTAGCATGTGGTTTCGCAGTGTGTTGGATCTTACAACATATGTTCTGGCTGCTTATTTTTGTTGTTGCACACATGTTCTTCACTTATGAAAGTCATGCCAGTTGTGCAATTAAAGCTCTTTCTGCTAGAAAGGCGGTACAGTATGCTTCTTTCAGGTGGGAGCGCCAAAGGCACAGAGAAAATCTGTCCCATTAAGCGATGTACCAGTTCTCAATCTCTTCGCAAGTGGCACAAAAGTAGAACAAATGAAAATGTTTCATTTGGCAAAAGATTTTAAAAAATTCAGAATAGAAAGAGATACCCAAAGCGCACTTAACAACCTCTAGCTCTCTCATTTTATTTACTGAGACCTCTCTTACTCCATCAATGAAAGGTTCATAAAATTTAATTTCATTTGACATTTTTATAATCCAATATTGGTTATCGAATTTATGTTTTTCTTAAACGATGTTTTTAGCTAATGAGAACGGAAAATTTGGCCCAGATAACTAAAGTGTCACTTTTTTGGGATCCCATTAATCGAAAGTAGCTACCTACAAAATCTATTTGTATTTCTTTTGCATTGATTGGATGGTGGCTTCAAATATGGTTTGGGATTAAGCTTTGGCAATTGCCAGCAAATGATATCATTTCTGAAAGTTCTGATCAATGGTTTGTAGTTCACAAGTAAAGCAGTCATTTCTGTATGGCTGTCTCCTGTTTGTGTCTATTTCTTGCTATTTTTAATTCTTTTCTGCTAGTATTTCTGTTTGAGA